AATGAAAATGCTATAATCTAATAATTACTTCAAAAAATGTTGGTCTTCCGCAAAAATTTTCATTTGTATAATCTGGCTTTCGAAAGAAAGTAATTGAAGAGCCCTGATCTCTGCTAGAAAAATGAGTACAGAGCAATAGTGAAGAGAGCGAGTGAGAAATCCTGGCTGTGTGTGTGTGTGTGTGTGTGTGTGTGTGTGTGTGTGTGTGTGTGTGTGTGTGTGTGTGTGTGTGTGTGTGTGTGTGTGTGTGAGTGTGTGTGTGTTGTGCTGTGGGGCTTGAACAAGGTTGTCTGTAAGCAGTCAGGGAAGGAGAACGCTGTGAGGGAATGTGTGCTGGTAATTGCCGCCAGTTTGGATATTTGCCCTGGAGTCCTCCTCTCTCATCTTAAAATAAGGGCCAATAGCACCTCATGGCAATACAACGAACCTCAGCAACACAACATTACATGGGCTCACAAAACAACCCGTATTACTGAACTTTAATCCCCAAGAGTAATTAGAGGATGCTGGATAAAATAATTCTCTATTTAAAAATGTCAGAAATTCAATATGATTTGTTCAACCCCAGTGCACTTGACAATTACTAATAAAAGGTAAAGTACAGATTTAACAATAATTCAAAGTTAATTTATGCACATAATTCATTTTGCCCAAGAAAAAGCTGACAGATGACCATAATTACTGTTCCAACACTGACAGCTGCATGAGATATTTTGCCCAAAAATGTAATTTTATTTTCTCACACAGATTTTTAAAAGATAATTAGGGTCCAAAAACACTGGGCATCCATTGGCTTTCATTCAGAGAAAAAGAAAAGGCAAATGAAATATTCAAAATATCTTTTTGCAGAATGAAGTTTGGAATGACATGGGTGAATATATAATCACAGAATTTTCATTTTTGAGGGAAATATGCCTTTAACAATATAGAAAAACAGAAGAGAGGAGAGGGACTGAAAGATTGCTGCTCTCTAAAGTGAAGCCATGGCGCTGTTTTCTGTGTGAGCTGGAGAGGGTTTCGAGAGGGGCATTTCTGAACCTCATATAACACACTGCAATTAGTGTGGGCTGAAGTTGCCTCTCTGTGTGGGAGAGAGAGAGAGAGAGAGAGAGAGAGAGAGAGAGAGAGAGAGTGAGAGATAGATAGAATACTGGTGTGCAAAAGCGAGAAAGCGTTTTGTGGACATTTGCTTTGTGTGGAACTGGTGCAGGAAATTTGGGAAGTGGGATCTGGGGTTGTCCACCCACACACACATTCAAAAGATGGCTGATAAAAATAGTAGCTTTGTCCCTGAAAAAATAAATCTGTATTTTTTTTACACCATAGCACACGTCTAGTAATTTACTATTCATTCCTAACATCTGTTTGGTTCTTCCGCACTTCTGGAAGTTGTTGACTATATGTAGGAAAGATGTTTAGCGGCATATCCGATGCAGCTGGCAGCTGGTTCCATAACTTTTTTTTTCTAAATATCCTGCAAGAAGGGCATACAGGTGTGCCAAGATATATATTTCATGACTACGGTTGTTAAAGTTGCCTAAGTGTGTGTTGACAGTTACTATACAAAGTCAGTGTGAATGTGAAATGTTGTACTGTGTAAGAGATATTGAACAAATCCTAAACTTTCAGCATTAAAAGTGCCCCTGCTCTGCAGTTTTATGGTTTGAAGGTGTCCTACAATTCACATGCATCCAAATTTAAAAAGAAACTTTAATTTACTTTTAATGTGCTTTTGAAATCACCCGATTTGAAGGATTTTGTCTTCTATGTTTTTTTTGTCTTTGCCTTTTTTCCTCTGATCGGTCAGATCATCCAGTCTGTTCTAATTGGTCTGGTAGGGGTGAGTGATAAGACTATTTTTGATCATTTAAAATGTCTCCACAATCTGCTTTTTAAGAAACATCGCAGTATCCCACGCAGTACTGGTGCCTCCATATCAATATACTGTACAATGTCAATGCGACATACATTAACATCAATTATTAACTCGATGATAGAGTTACACTCACATTACATGGCACTTATTCATAATAAAAAAAGGACATTTGTTTCATGTGCTTTTAAAGTCTTGCCGATTAAACATTCCATTTGCATGCCGCTCCGCACTTTGGTTTCCCGAGAGCATACACCTGAGGAGAACAATATGTATTCTACAAAGTCTGTCAAACAGCACCTAATTACAAGATTGGGTTATCTTTCATTTCAGTTTGCACTAAAATTGTCAAAACCACACAAAAACACATTTTGCTCATGTCTAAAGTAGGCATGGGCTGGCATAAGTTTCTGAAGGTATGATAACCTTGGATAAAACTATCACGGTTTCACGGTACGGTAATTACTGCTCTAAAATATTTCGTCTTTAAACGTCTGGGTAAAAAAAGAACACAATTTTTCCTGATTGAAAACAATATATTTGATTTTAAGAAATATTTTAAAATATTTTGGAACAGTAACTTTTGGTGTCAATGGTCCTTTTCAGCTGGAGATACTGCTGTCCTAAAAAACTAAATAAAATTATTATAAAAAAACACGTAAATAATGAAAAAGCTTAAAGTTTGGGTGGTTTTAAAACCTTGACTTGAAAACTCTTATAGTCCCATGTTTAGTCTAAAGTCTTTTACTTAGTTTGTGGTACATTATAAGATTATATAGCTGTGCAATAAGTGTATGTTTTCATAGACATAGCCAAACACTTTGTGCACGCCTGGGTGTTTCAGAGATTTTTGAAAGCAAAGTTTTTTTTTTTTTTTTAGGTTTTTGACTCTTCTAAAGCATAAAAATATATTAATATATTTGCAGATACTTAAGAAACTTGCCAAGTGAACATTCTTGTTGATCTGAAAAACAATGCTGAAGTCAGATATTCTGCTTTGAAAATGTGTGTTACGTGCTGGAATGTCTGTCTTTGTTTTGGTCACTTAACCCGCCCACTGCCACTTTAGCCAATTAAATTTCAGCATCCCGGAAAACTGCGTATTTCATTTGTTTATTCAGAAAGATGTGTCTGTGACCGAAATGCAACCTCTGGTGGACAGTAGCAGCCACCGAAATGAGACGCAGATTCAGAGTTCCACATGAGGTTATTAAATAGATATAAATATTTATATCTAAATATTTATAAATATTTATAATCTAATTAAAATACATGAACCCTCTTTAACATTATTAAATGTACATGCTGAATCACTGATATGTGTTGGTCTGCATTATTTCACAGTTCTAAAGTTCAATTTCAAAAGGTTTGTTTTATTTTCAAGATCTGACATGAACTACTTTATCTGCTGATGCTTTCAGTAGTATGACAATAAGCGTCATGTAAAATGGCATTTAAAGTAACATTATTAGGATTTAACACTGAATAAAGTACATGAGGTATACCTGAGGTGATCATTGTCATTTTCTGCTGTTCACCAGTGAGAAATAGAAGCCGATTCTAATATATCAAACTGAGATGTTGGTTAGGACAAAAACTTATTTTAATATGCAAAATATTCTTTCTACTGTGTGTTGCTTTTTATATAGAAAACAATTTAAATCAGCCTTTAAGCTCGATTGTCAGACTCGCTTCCTATTAGTCGTCAATGTGTCAACCTTTGTTTTTGTTTGTTTTGATACAAAAATACAATACCTAATTTAACCACTAGGTGTCAAACTCACATACTGCACCTTTAACATTAGTATATGCATGTGATTCCTGTGTGCACGTGTAGATAAAGTTGGACTTAAACCCTACATGGAGACTCTTGCTAACTAATTATCTCATCATAAACAACAAAGTGCAATTATAATAATGCAATTAGGTGGTTCAATTTGTAGCTTTGGGTCAAACTTTAAAAAAAAAAAATCTACTCTCAAGCATTAATGCTTTCTCTCAGTATGATGATTATTACACACAGCAGCATAGCAGCACATAACAGCACATAGCATGCAAATGTGTTACAGATAGGCATGGGATATTGACCATTTTTAAGGTATACCACGGTTTGAAAAAGTCAAGGTTTTAAAACCGCCAAAATGTTCTGTTATACCATTCCTATGGTTTATGTAAGATTTGTTTGTTTAGTATTTTAGTGCAACAGTATCTCTAGCAGAAAAGATCTCCGTTTTAAATTGTAAAGAAATCTAGATCTTAGAAACAAAGGACAGCAGAAGTCAATGATTCATTCAAATTCTTTAGCCTCACATGTCTACTGCTCCAAAATACTTTGTTTCTTAAAATAAAATATATTGTGTTCAAAAGGGGAAAATGTTTTTGTTTTGTACCCAGACGTTTAAAAAGAATATATTTTGGAGCAATAATCACAAATTCACAATACTGTGAAACAGTGACATTTTTATCCAAGGTTAGCATACTATTAGAATCCTATACCTATGCCTAGATACAGATTTCTATTGATCAGTTATGGAAATATAACTAAAATTCCTGACTACTCATTTCAGCAGTTCAGAATCAATTCTTTATTTTGGAAGACAATTAACTTTTTTTAATCAAGCATTTCTTAGATTTGTACAACTTTGTAGCCCTTCTAGATCCATGAAGAACTACACATTAGACATTGCTTAAAAGAAATATCCAAAAAAGTAAAATTGAACCACCAACAAGGACAAAAGACCCATAGCAAAAATACAAATAACTTTTCAATACAACTTAGGTGTAATACGACTTTAGATGTCCTACAGTAACTTTGCACAGCTAATTATACATCGCTCTGGGCCAACATGAGAGTAAACAAATGATGACAGATTTTTTTTTTTTTTTTCAGCTGAACTACCCCTTTAAAGAGAAAAGTCGAATCTAATATAACTGCTGTTAAAAAGCCCAGCTGAGAGTCCTCCTGGCCAAAATAGCAGGGAGAGTGGGCGCATTAGCACTCGTCATTGACCCGACACATGACATTATAAAAACATTTTTGGGAAGTTTCATCCCTGACAAAGCCTTCAGTGAGTACCCGGCCCATCTAATATTAGAAAACTCCTGCAGCTTTAGAGGGCGAACATACCTGCGAGGACCCTATTGACGGATGAGTGCGTTGCCAGGCCTGGCTGCCCTCGCTCATGGAAGATTCCAGCATACGGCAAAAACTCCGGCAAGAGAAAGCGCCTGGAGATCAGGTGAAACAGAGGCAGTTTGAGAGAGAATGGCAAGACATGCAAACTCATGATCTGATCATTTTAATGCTGTACATAACACATATCAGCAATGCATGTACATCACAGAGAACACAATATTTATAAAACTGTAGGACAAACTCAATCAAACTTTCAAGCTTGAAAAGTATAGATTAAACAATCGTTGTTGGAAACAGTTTTCCCACTAAATAGTTTTATTCAGCAAGAACACATTAAAAAAAGATTGAAAGTGGCAGAAAAGAAGTTTACATTGTTGCGGTTTAAAGAATTCTATTTCAAATAGGTGCCGTTCTACTAAACCTATTCATAAAAGAGGTCTACAAATGTAATATGAATTGAAAATGTGATGTAAAGAATGTACCAGTTTTTTTTAAAAAAAGTACCGAACAGCACACAATAAGAAGTACTGTTTGGTGAGGACAACATTTGAGAATGAGTCCGAATGATTGTGGGACTGAATAATCAGCTTTGCCATTAGAGCAATATTACATATTTACATTAAGCTTTTAATATTTTCACCTTTTAGCAATGCATGAAAAAGGAAACAGACATTTAAAATGGTAATAAAATTGGACAAGATTTTATTACTATTTTTAAATAAATGCAATCTTGTTGAACAAAAAAACTAAATCTTACAAAGCCTAAATTTAATTTATATAATATTTATTTATATTATTTTTCGACTGCTGTGTCATTTCTCACATGACCAGAATCACAGAAATTATCTGTGAGTCCAGTTTTTGCCTGCAGTGTGCTATTAGTATGACACATTACAAACTCTCTGAAAGAAGCTGACCATGATGATGGTAGACTGCGAAACAGCTTACTTTGTTTTGTTACAATGTATTTCTGGTGCTTTTGGCATAAATAGACTAAACACGTTTTTACCTGGTTCCAACAAAACGACCAAGAGAGGGGGCAGACATGCGAGCATTACGAGGAGTCCGATATCTGCTTCCATTTTCCCTGTACACACACACAAGAAACTATTCAGTAATAAAATAAATGAATCACTATCTCATTAACATCCTGCATAAAATCAGATCTTTAGCAATTTCGCAAAGTGGAGTTAAAGTGTTAAAATACGTAATAAATCAGTCACTAAAGTGTTTCAAGCATGTCTTCAATCACTTTTTTCATTGAACATCAGATTTAGTTTGCTTACAAGGTAAGAGTGGGAATGATTGATAAAGAACTGAAAGAAAAGATAACGTTTATGAAAGAAAAATTATGGCAGGCATAAATATTAATATGAAGGCTAACTGAAAGACTGATGGGTTTCATAAGTATTCTGATGAATATGGATCTGTGGTCCCAGACTGTAGCGAACGCTGAACTCTCCAGCCAGCGGGTGGAATTATTCATCAGCTCAGAGGAGGGCATCTAATCCGTGCCAAAAAAAGAAGGAAAAAAGAGAGAGAGAGAAAGAGAGGAAGAAGAGCTGTGTGGTTTGTAGTGGAGAGAAGCACTGATATTCAGCTAATGGAGGGGTTGGAGAGAAGGAAAGAAAGACATTTCTAGAGCATTAGTGGCTCCATACAAAGACAAATAACTTAAGCACAGACTACTTGGCGGTTTACAAAAACACATTTGCAAACAAATTAAAAGAGCACTAGCATTCTTAAAAAAAAAAAAACATGAATTTGAATTTCAAATCAAATCTAATGAAGAGATTGAAAGTGGCTTGTAATTTAAAAAAAAATCTGCTTATCTAAAATTACATAGTCATTTAGAGTTTTTTTTCCAGAAAATTATCATTGTTTTTAATTATTATTATATAAATTTAACTGGCAACACAATGGACAAAACTAATAGCATTTAATAACATTATAAATTGTTGTGATTAAGAATAAGGGTAATTCCACAAACAGGGTATCGACAGGTTTCATTAAGTCAAATTTAAGACTTTAAGACATTTTAAGACCATATTGAATGTAATTTCTGACTTGAACAAGGCTAAAACCCAAAGATTTTTTAATGGCCAACTTAAAACCTTAAATATATTATTGTAAGAAAGATAACTACACCATATTAACAACGTAAATAGAGTTAATAATTTTTTAATAAATTGTTAGTTATTGGAAGGGTGTTGGTCATATTTGGTATAGCTTTACAGTGACATAGAAAAATTAAGACCTGTTAAAAATTATTTAAGACCTACAACACACTATTTAGGCAGATTTAAGACTTTTAAGTCCTAAAATTTGTTCTTTGAAATTTAAGACATTTTAAGACCCTGTAGATACCCTGACAAAGTAAAACGTATAACACTGGCATTATGTTGTCTAAAAAGGAAATTAAACGTAATATAAATGAACATAAAAATAATGTCTGTAAATATATCTTTTTTCCCAACACTTGTACCCAATCTGCCTTTGCCTTTGGTTGCCTTTTGCTTGATCATTGTAGGATACTTTTCTTAGAAAACCTGCTTTCAAACAATACGCACTGGAAATAGCACATAGCAAATCATTTACAAGTAACTGAAAGCACATTGGATAAACAGTCTAACACTTCTGTAAAATAAAAAATATTAATATTTCACAGTTGTCCAGGGGCTAGTTGCATAAACTGCTGACTGGATTTTAAAAGTCTTTTTCGTCCTCAATGCTGACCAATCCATTTTAAAGTCACTTAAAAACCCAAATCTTCATGAGATTCTTTTTTTCTGTTCAACACAAATATAAAACATCAAGAATGCTGGAAACAGGTAGACATTAGCCCCTTTCACACATACAAACCTTTTTGAAAATACCCGTAAGTTATTTTATTTTATGCAAGTTGTTTTCAAGTTGTTCTGAATTTGTAATGTAGTCAAATATGTAAACATTTAGCTGTAGTTAGTGCTTCTGCCTTTGGATGTCTCTGGGACAAAGCACCTGCATGAATGCTAAAATTTGAAATAAAAGTGAAACCATCAACAAAATCCAGACCTTTTCTATGTTTACAAATACAAGCGAAGCCGTTTGGAGGTCATTCCTGGTTAATAATTTTAGAATTTGCCTGAATTTTGGAATAGATGTGTGAATGATCTTTTCCGAAAAAAATCCAGAACATCTTCTCCTGTGTGAACAGAGCTTTTTTGAATTTACCGGTAAAGTCGTTCTGTAAAGTTTCCGGATATTTACTGGTATCACTGTGCAAAAGGGGCTACTGACATTAATAGTAAATAAAAGAATTCTACAGAAGTCAAAGACTACAAGTTTTTCAACATTGATCAGAATATAATAGAATTTTGTACAGAAGGGGAGTAATTTTTTTATTTTTGGGTAAACCATGCCTTTAACATGAGGGCTTATGTTTATGCAACTGGCCCCAGCAGATGAAGAAAGAAGCATCAAGCTCACAGCAGTACATCACTGTCCCATCGGAATGAGTCAAAGTGCACTGCAAGCAGAGTTCAATGTTAATGCTAAACACTATAAGAAGAGACGCCATGGGCAACTCTGGTAGAATCGTTGGCAAGCTCAGTAAGTCTGAAAAACAGCAAAAGTGATAAGATTCTGCCGTTCAGATCCTGCCTTGTGTGTTTGTTGGGTTGCTTAGCAACAATACAGGGAATTAAATCCATAGAGATTTTTACAAGCAATTACTTGGCGTAGGCTTTGTATGTCTGTACAGTTGTTTACTTACTCAAACTCCTCAAAGTCAACTTCGCTGCTCTCTGCGTTAGGGACAGGGCTCGGGGAAAGACTGCTGGGATTAGAGGACAGGGGTCGAGGTCTGCTAGGGGGACGGTGGGAGTGCTGCCGAACGCTGTCCCGTCGAGACAGATACTGGATCATACGCTGTGCATAATATGCTGCAGGGGACAACCTGCAATCACAACAAACACATAAAAAACATAGTGATGTTAGATGTTCACTATAGATAACAAATCCAACATGTCAGCCACTCATTTCTATACCAAAAACAACTGAATCAAACAAATATTTTTTATTAGGAGACGCACCAATAACAAATGTGGTTGCCAATGTTGATATCTGATTATTTTAAATGCCAATAGAGGGTTTCTGCAGATATCATAATGTCAAATTTAAGACTTTTTAAAACCATTTTAAATATTAAATTTAAGACTTATATCGCAATATCAAAAACACACAGGAGAAAATGTAAAATCACAAAATGAGCGTAAAATAAATGTATTTAAATTGAACAGTTCTAAAGACAGGTTAGATGCACCATTGAGCTACAGAAAAAAAAAAAAAAACATCTTAATGCTGATTTATACTTTCACCTGGTGCCACATCACGCACCTCACATAACAGACAAGGCTTTTATCCTTGAATCGTTCAATACTTTGAGATCTTTTAGCATCTTAAAATAAATTAAAACTGCAAATCAAACTGTCCAATGTCCAATCAAAATCATTCCAGTTAATCCATTAAACATAAGCAAACACAAACAAAACAATTCAAATGACAGTGGTGTGCACAGCATGACCAACATTTAAAGACAGATTTACTAAAGAGGGCAAATTAGTGTGAGACTGCAATCCTACAGGAGTGGGAAATGTGAAAATGTGCAAATTAAAGAACACAAACATAGCAGCTCATTTCCTTACGGGCCAACACAATCTTCTAAGAGTAGCACAGGTCGCAAACAAGCAGAGGTTATGGAGATTGAGAGAGCGTAACACCAGACAATATAGGCACATAAATAGGTTAAGTAATGAATTAGTCAAATTACTGGTATTTACACCACTATTTAGCACCTAAAAAGCATGACTTCATAAATCATGATTAGTGTTAGGTCTGCACATCCTTATTCCTTGTCGATATTGCAATGTGATCATTTGCAATTATTACATTGTGAGTAGGGTTGTAACGGTATGAATTTTTCACGGTATGATAATCGTCTAAAACAATACCACGGTTTGACGGTTTCGCGGTATACGGTATGTTACAAATGTTACAAAATAATAGAACAGTGAAGCAAATTTGACTTTTTCCAAATAATATATTTTTAGTTACTATAAACAACACCACTTACAATAAACAAATAAAAATAAGAAAATAATAAATAATGTGTCAAAGTCCAAATAAAGTCCAAATAAACATGGTGCAAATCCTCAGTAAAAAATAGATATAAATATTTACTATACTATAAATAGTTACATAACGAAACTAGATTCAATATGGAACATCCTTAGGTTTTATGTGCCAGCATGGATATGGTTGTCTATCGATATGGATTTGGATATGGTTGTCTGCAATGCAGACAAACAGCTGCATCTTCATTTGCGTCTTTTGAAAACAGCAAGAGCAGCAGTTCGTCTTTGCTGTGTCACTGTTTTGTCATGTTTATGTGCTGCTGTGCATGCAAAAGTACTTAGTATGAGAATTATTTCATGCAAAACTTTTTTTTATTGCGTTTTATTTAGCCGCGCATAAATGTATGCCTATAATATATAATTATAATGCCTATAATATATAATTCCGTGTTGTTCAAAAAGCTTGGTCCACAAACAAAAGCTTGGTCCACAAACAAAAGCGAAACCTATGCTTATTGGTTGTGATATAGAGAGTTTGAACCAATCTGGGCATGGAGGAGGGACAATGCATCAATGTATCATGTCTGATTTGTCCGGAGACACAGTGACGAGCGTTTCTTTGTCAAATCAGCGTTGTCAAATGTTGATGATGTAACCGCACTGATTCCGGAGCCTCTGAAAGTCCGCGAATGTTATGTGATACGCCACTGGAAAGCTGAGATTCTCTTCTTTATGCCAATCTTTGAATTGTATGAATCGGATCAGCGGATCAAAAGTTATTAAACATTTAAGAGCAATACTTATTTTTAGCCGCGGGCGGCTGTCTCGGTCTTTAAGGGTTAAAACCGTTGATATGCAATTGTTCATGGTATGATAATCGTGCACGTTCAAATCGTGGTAAACCGTCATACCGGTATATTGTTACAACCCTAATTGTGAGTAAACGAAATGTTGAGTCTGGATTATATTTATAATTTATCATATAATTTTATTATTTTGCAAGTGTTTTTAAGGCCTGTGACTGCGTGAGGATGTTAATAATTACATTCCTATAGCGCTTTTGTGGGCACTCAAAGTGCTTTACACACATTAGGGGGAATCTCCTCATCCACCACCAATGTGCAATATCCACCTGGATGACGCAACAGCAGCAATTTTGCGCCAGACCGCACACCACACACCAGCTGATTGGTAGAGAGGAGAGAGAGTGATGAAGCCAATTATGATATGGGGATATTTATGAGGCCATGATAGACAGAGGCCAGTGGGCAAATTTGGCCAGGATGCCAGGGTTAAACCCCTACTCTTTATCGAAGGAAATCCTGGGATTTTTTAAGGACCACAGAGAGTCAGGACCTCGGTTTAACGTCTCATCCAAAAGATGGCGCTCACAGAGCAGTATAGAGTCCCCGTCACTATACTGAGGCATTAGGACCCACAAAAACCGCAGGTTGGGCGCCCCCTGCTGGTCTCACTAACACCACTTCCCATGTGGTCTCCCATCCCACTTTAAAAGCATTCAGGCATAATAAATTGTACTGTTTAATAAGACAATAAGACAATTTATATAATTTGTATAATTTGTATCTCCTTCTTTATTGAACTTGATTGTTTATGGTTTATGCACTCCCAATTAATCTAAAATTATAAATTCATTCCAGTTATTTAACTCATCTGAAGATTTATTTGATTCATCTGATTCATTTAGCAATACAAATCGCAGATTAAAAGAATATTGGGTAAAACTTTAGTTTAGGTCATAATTCATGTTATTAAAAAACCATTAACTAACACTATTAGCTTAATAAACAACTAATTAGTGGTTTATTAATAGTTAATAAGGTTGTAGTTGGGTTTAGGTTTTGGGTAGGTTTAGGGAATCAGCTCATATTTTATAACTACTAATGAACAGTTAATATGTTAATAATAGGCAGGTAATAAGCCAGTAGTTAACAGCATGAAATGTGACCTAAACTAAAGTGTTACTGAATATTGCAATGTTAGATTTTTCTAATATTGTGCAGCCCTAATTCATGTTCTTCAAATGCTGCCCATTTTGCAGGCTGATCATGAAGATCAGCTTAGCTGCAAAAACATTTGTGCCCATATTCCTCACTATTTTTCCAGTGTGTTTTTAAGCAAATCCTGAGAGCAGTTTTTTTTATTTGAAAAGTGGATTTGAGATGATGCAAGCAATTTGTAAATCTGACCCTGAATGTTTAAGATTGGTTTACTGATTTTACTGAAACCATTTAGGCCTTTCCACTATAGGCAAGAGCCTCTGATGAATCGCCATTGTCGCCACTGGCTTGCTTGGTTTGGAACTTCTGGAGCTGTTGATAGATTTGCTCTCCAGGGTTTGGACTTTCAGCAGTAAAAATTGAAACACACTGAACAGAACTAAACTGAAATTCAACAATTAAAATTGGACTGACAGTTTCAATTTACTAGAATTTCAATGTTAAGCTGCTTTGACACAATCTACATTCTAATAGCGCTATAGAAATAAACATGAATGGAATGGAATGAACCACTGTTTTAAACAACCTTCATGCATTTTTTGATAAACACACAAAATAACTTTTGTATCCACTTGATTAAATCTGCATCTATTCTCATTTAAATCAGATGCTAATTCATTAGTTAGCTTTTTGGCAGAGGGACCTGCTGAACAAAGCCGTTAAAACTAAAATCTTTTACACAGCTCAGAGTGAAAGAGCATCTGGAGTTTCGTTCGGTCTTGGACTAGCTGAGAAAGGAGCATCTGCCACCAGCATGGACCAGATGAGCTGAACACTGAGAACAAACAGAGCTAAACTCCTAAATAAACCTCGGGCAGAGACAACTGTCACATATTCTCAACCAGTCAGAAAGAGAATTTCTGTAATTATAAATCAAACCAAAATTATGAATATTCATCCTCACAAACACAAGCACAAAATCGCAAGGAGAGAAACTTGGCAGAACTTTTCACAAGACCTAGAATCAGTTAAATCTGTCTGACAGAGCCTAAACACATCACATTGTTTATCAGTGTGTGTTTGAGAACGTGTTTTCAACCGACACACAAGCAGACAGAGAAAGATGCGGGAAACAACAGTGTCATATAGCAGCAATTACTCCTGCCGGAGTCAGACTAACCCTCTGCTCAGATGGCTTCTAACACCAGGTACATTCTGCTCTGGGGGAAATGAGTCTGTTGTGGTAATTCACAGGTTAGAGGTGCGCGTCGGTCCGTGTGTTTGTGCGAACCAGCCAGCGGGAGTCTGCGCTAACAATCTGTCTTGATCCCGAACCACTGCTGATTCCCCAGAGCTCAACAATGACTCACTAGCCATGAACTCACGTTATTATGAGCCTTACACACAAAGTCCGAGGATGCTGACAGGCTGTGTGTGCATGTTTGAATTAAGGGGACACAGGGGTGTTGGTGAGTCTGAAATGTCACACTACTGTCCGGAAGCATAACACACACTCGTTCTCATTACCCAGACCTCACCGTCCAAGCGGCATGACGGTGAAATGCTGTTCACACACATACACAAACACACGGCTTCACCTGGCTGGGTCGGGATAGATGGGGTGGTCTCGTGACCCAGAGGTGCCATTTCTCGAAAGAGACATCATGGACGACTCCAGCAGCCTCCTACAAAAGAGAATTGCATTGCTTTTGTTTGTTTTGAAGTTGCAAAGCACTTCCTGTCCAGATTAAGAATTTTTGGAGAGGACGTCAAACAAAAATGAAGAAGACACATTTCTTCCAATTTCCACCATTCGGTTTCTACAGTAACACTCCCCACCGAGCAGCATCACAATCATTAAAAATCTCATTAAACTGCACAAGGACATTAGTATGCTCATTACCGACTGTTATGTGAAGGCTAAATGAATATAATGTGTAAGTAATGATGTGAGCTCTGCCAGGCTTGGCCAGGAATTGGTTAATAACCCATTAAATCGGGGTATTTGTTAAGTCTGGGTTTGTGCTATTCCTCATACAACGGAGAGTTTGCTGAAGGCCATTAAGAGAGGAGGCCGAGTCCAAAGCATGCCTTCTTGGACTGGCAGGGCACAAAGCTGGACGGACAGTTGGGCAGCGAGCAGGGCATTTTTATTCAGCATGAGTCAGTGTGATGTGTGTACGTGAATGCATCTGGTGTGGGTGTGCTCGGCGCTTCATTAGAATGCCATCTTCTGCCCTTTGACTCACAGCAAAAACAGAACGGATCGATTCTGACTCCTTTTCACGCAGTTGGCTTTGTTTGCTCACTTAAAAAGATCAAGATCTGCATTTTAACAGAGTTGAAGCAAACATAACTCTATAAAAACACACTAAACAGTTAGGAAATGTGCAGTTCTGGGGATATTTTTAACTTGTTTAGTCTATAATCACTCTTGAAAGTGCAAAATGTATAGCGTGATACATTTTTATCCAGATGGAATGCAGATGACGGTGCAGATTGTGCTACAGTTTCAAGCCTTTTGTTTTGCGCTTCTGCATACTGTAATATGGCAGCTTATTATCTGAACAATATTGAGGTAACTTTCTATAAATTTCACAGGCTCTTGTTTCAGGTATGACATTATAGCAGGTAGTGATGAGAGTTCGTGCTGAAACTTTGCTCCACGCTCAAAGCTGTGAGTCAGTAATGCTGAACTGGAGCGGGACTCCTGGGACAATGTAAAATGGCAGAGCATTCATTCTTATTGCTCTTCTCTATAAGTGAAGTGCGATACTTTCCGTTGCACAGCATTGGCTTTAAAACAAAACTGATTCACAGCATGGCCACGCACATGGGACATGCTGTTCGGCATCATGAGAAGAGGAGGACTGTGTGTTAGAGTACATAATCAGAACAAAAAACCCACCGGCTATTTAGTGTTGAAGATACATGTGGAAAGTTACCACTACATATGTGCAGTGTGATGAGCTACTGCCCCCTAATGGAGTGAAGCTGGCATTTCAAGACCCTTGAGGGGAGCAATCTGCAAAGACTGGCCCATATTTTAGGTCAGATTCCTTACAAAAGTGCCAGTGTGATTGAAAATTACAAAAGTAGGTCGGTTTACTTAACAGCAAAACTCAAAGTTATACATCTTACTTTATGAGCCAGATGTGTCATTGACTAAGGGTTTGCATGACAACATATTTTAACTACACTGTCAAAAAGGCTGGGTTCCACAAATTCCTTCATGCTGTCCCAACACCAACCATTTAGGCTGGCTTAATTTTTTTTTTTTCATAAAATTTAAGTGAATTCAACATAAATCAATCAGGTTGTCCCAAAAAAAAATTAAGAATTGTGTTGTTTCAACTCATTTTAAATAAGTAGTTCAAACATAAGTAATTTTAGAGAGTAGTTAAATGAGACCGCATAGAAAGAAAAAAAAAACAGTTGAACAATAGTCTGTAATAATTGTTCATCTTAATAACAGTGTCAAGTCATCATGCAGCATCAGTCATTAGCCCATCATGATATTTAGAAGAATGTTAAAAACCAGTAACCATTGACATCCACAGTAGTAAAAGGTTTCCAACCCTTCCCCAAATGCCTTCTTTTGTGTTTAACAGAAGAAAGAAACGCAAACCAGTTTAAGATAAGCGTTGGGTGAGTAAACAATGACAGATCTTTCAGTTTTTGGTGAACTACCCATTTAAACCCATAATAAACATTTGATTCTTATTTATCAGGATTTTACACAAAACAAAATCATCATATACAATTATAATAATAATTATGTTACATTTATATAGCGCTTTTCTGGACACTCAAAGTAAAGCTCTGCATCCCGGCTGTACTGCGGGAGCAGACCAGATTTCTTGCGGTGCAGGAATAAATTTCTGAATAAAGCGTAAGAGCGGTTGGTAACTGGTGTAATTTGAACGGGAGCGGGCGGTCTAACAATATCGCTCCAGACTCTTGAGCGAGCGAGCGAGCATGCCTATGTATGTGTGTGAATGAGAGACCGTGATGCTGTGTGTCACACTGCAAAAAATGCTTTTCTTACTTAGATTTTTTGTCTTGTTTCTAGTCCAAATATCTAAAAGTTCTTAAATCAAGAAGAATTTTCTAGACAAGCAAAACATATTGTCTTGTTTTAAGAAATAATATGCCAAAATGAAGTGAGATTTTCCTTAAATCAAGCAAAATAATCTGCCAATGGGGTAAGCAAAATAATCTTATTACAAATCGAAAAACAACATTATTAACTAAGTTGTACAATAGCTCCTCACATTAACAGCAGATGAAAAGACCAGAATGTGAGAACCAGTTAAATTGTTCTTTAAAAAGTTATTTAAACAAAACTGACATTATCCTGACATGATATTTACAGGCCCATACGATACAATGCATTTTTATAAAGGAAATTTTGTGAAAATACTTATAAATGAATGATTATATGGTGATGCAGTGGCGCAGTAGGTAGTGCTGTCGCCTCACAGGAAGAGGGTCGCTGGTTCGATCCTTGGCTGGGTCAGTTGGTGTTACTGTGTGGAGTTTGAATGTTTAAATATTGTTACACAATAAAAAGAAAATACTTTCAAAAAAGCATTTTTTTCCAGGTATTCCTAAAATTTCAACAATCAAAGTCTTCCAATACTTAAAGAACCCAATCGGGCCTTATAGCTGAGCTGAAAAAGCTCAGAATCTAAAATCTCTAACAACAGACTCACGCTTCTTGGGCTGCTTTGAACAAACTATACTTGTTTCACGTATAATTCTTTTGCCTTCAGATCCTTCAATTTGCTATAGGGGTCTCAGAGACGTTCAGAGCACAAATTTGACTAGCATGAAAGCTCCACACAAACAATCTCAGAAGTCTGCCATGCACTTCAATAATGACATGCTTGGTGAAAGCAACACGCTCTTGTGAAATTCACATAAATCTCCACAATAAAAACAATGGCATGCAGATAGGTCGGTCTCTATGTGAATGAATCTTGCTCAGGAAAGATCTATAATTTAGGTAGCAGAATGCAAAAAGACATTTTGTTTGTCACCTCAATCAACTCTTAATATTTATTCATCTGTGCTGTCAGGACTGGAGAGTGCTGATATGTAGATAAGCACCTTCTTAATACCAGGCCCATCTCTGGATGGCACACTCTGCAGTGAGGGCTAATAGAGTGCACACAGACAGGCACTAGGTCAGATCAGACTGATTTCTGTGTCAGACACTTTTCCTTGAAGCCCAAGTAAGGTTATCGTTTTACTCTAATAAGAGTTTATGTGAGGAATCGCAGTTCAGACTGCACTTTATTATGCAGGCTTTGCACAGAGGCTATCCTGCTGAAGAATAAGGGAGTTACAATGATATTTGACATGACAGCACACTCAGAGTCTGCGTATTAACACCTGAGCACTTCATGAAGAGCTGTTAATCATTTCACATGTAGACCATTGTCGACTGCTGTGCCAGTGTCTTCATACTCGCATGCAGACTTTAAGCTTGCCGTTATGTTCAGTATGGTTTGCTCTGCCAACAGAGATTTTGCACAGCCTCTGTTATATTGTGACAGGATCTCAAAATAGCTTACAGTGCAATAAGTCGCTGTTCATGTGCTCCAAACAGCCAGGATCAACAGGGTTTGACAAATTTTCACACATAATATTGGTAGAAAACAATACTACCAGACTATAAAGAATCATTTGTCCAAGGGCTTGTGTGAAAGTTTAGACCAGGGGTGTCCAAACTTAGTCCTGGAGGGCCAGTGTCCTGCGTATTTTAGTTTCAACCCTAATCAAACACACCTGAACCAACTAATCAAGCTCTTTCTAGGTATACTAGAAAGTTCCAGGGAGGTGTGTTGAAGAACTATGCAGGACGCCGGCACTCCAGGACTGAGTTTGGACACCCCTGGTTTAGACCAACCTGGGAAAAAACTGCCACACTTGGGTTTTACTGTCATGCATGTCTCGATCATCGATATCACAACGTGTGTATTCACAACAGTCACATTGTAGGATTAGATTATTTATAGATATTATCAAATATTATTACATATAATTATTTATAGAATGATCATTTGATTTGGTGTTTGACAGTTCAATTTTTGCATTTGAATACTGTTTGACTCTGCAAAAAACAATAAAGTACTCTTTATTTGCTCTGTTGTATTTATGCTTGTAAATCATTATATTTTATCCAGATACATTGCATAAAAAAAGACATGATCACACTAGTCAATGAATAGAGCTATTTAAATCATCTAGTAAAATTTTATTCCTATCACAATATATATTGCAGCAAAACTAAATATTGCAATGTCAATTTTTTCCAATATCGTGCAGCCCTAATTGGTACACATTAGGGTTGCACGATTTACCAGTACTATGGTAGTATCGCGATACTATAGCTTCAAAATACTAGTGGTGCCACTGTAGTTTGTAAACGGTAGTATCGTCATTATTCTACAATAGATAATGTTGCATGTGGAAAGTCACTAAAATGCTCACATGTTTGTGCAACAATAGACCATTTTATTTCAATAATGTGTGGGGAGAACTCTAAGGTTGCACGTTTTCTGACGTTTCAAATGCACACCTGAATCTGTTCAATTCTGTTCCTGTAAATATGATTAAGTAGCTACAACAACTGTGATAATCTCCTAAAAGAACGACCCACAAAGTGAAATTTTGAATTACTTTGGATTAGATGAAAAACCCAAAATAGCAACAGGAAACATTGAAACATTTTTGACCACTTCATATAGCCTAATTTTGTTGGAAAATGCTTTTTTTATTTTTGTTAACAAATTTTGTTTTGGCATAATTTGTATCTTTATTTTAACGTATTTTTTGTAGGTCAGTTATCTACAAAATAAACTCATATTATAAACAAATATTTTAGGTGAAGTGACGTGCAACTAACACTTTTTTCAATAATAAGGGAACTGAATTAAACTCAAGTAGACCTATTATAACATCTAAAATATAGTTTTTCTGACTATTTTCTTTATTATTTGAGTAGCAATACTATTTGGTATTGTGATACTTCAGCTGGTATAGTATCATAAGATGAACTAATGGTATTTTGACAACCCTAGAACACACATTTTTCTATAGATGCGTCTCAAATCACATACTTATGCACTATTCTACGCCATTTTGTAGTATAAATAGTGTAAGTAGTGCGTTCACACTGAAAACTCTAAAAATAATAAGTGCACTTTAATTACCCGGATGATGCACTCATTTAGCCGCTAAAATGAAGTGTGTAATGTGGGACACTACACGCACTCAATGACCGCAGGTTTGCTTACGTAGCGGAAGGGGCGGAGCTATCAGATGCACATGTTGGATAACTATTTATTTTGGATGGTGAAAGCAAAATTCTCCTACGAGAGTGATTATAGCGCCTCCCAATGGTGAATGCGGCAATACTCACGGCAGGTATTATTTAATAATTCGGCCGTTTATTTCACTGATTTGGCAACCGTCAAACGTCATCAGGGAAATGGTTTGAATTTCCACTTAGTAAAAAAAAACATTAGTGTGCCATTTGGGACCCCACTACATACATATACTATGCTGTTGAGTGTGTAAGTGCATAAGTACATAGTGCATGAGTGCATAGTGTATAGTGTATAGTGTGCCATTTGGGACGCAGCTTATGATTTACTGAAATGTTGTAGATTCAACTTTGAATCAAAAAAATGAAAGCTTAAATGTTGTTTAAATCTGAATTACTCCAGTTGAGAGGATGCTTTAGAAATATTTGTGATAGTATGGCAAATTTAATGCCCAAGAAGCATTTTTATATCATGATACATGCTGGAAAAACAGTTGTGCAGCTTTGGTTGTGGAAACAGTGATATACTGTTAATATTGTTTGAAATGCTTTTACTGTTGCTTTGGAATGGTAGTGCAAATATGGCCATACCTTTTTCTGTTGTTGTCAGTAAAAATGTTGAATGTTGGCAAACAACTGGTCAACATAAACAAAATACCTTATTGTGGCAGATTGGGAAAAGTTTCTAAACATCTGTAATCACTGCTGTTATTTCTATATAGAGGACCAAGAGCATCATCTGACATTAATAAGTTGTGGAATTGCAAGCTAGTTCAGGGGTGCCTAAACTTGGCCCTGCAAAGTTTAGTTCCAACCCTAATAACACACACCTGGGCTAGCCAAACAAGCTCTTACTAAAGCCGCGGTTACACTGCATTTTTCACTCCATAGACTTCCATTCATACACATGAGAAGGCAGCAGACCGGAAACACAAGCCTGTGCGACATTTCACTGTGCAGTTCGCTGGATTGAAAAGGTCAAGTTTGGTAAACTCTGACCTGCAAAGTCGCATCATGTGATTGTGTGAGACCAATCGAAGATCAAAACATGACCTCTCATTATAGAAATTTAAAATATGGATCAATAGCTAATTTTTTAAAAGTCTAATCAGCTCGTTTAATCCCGGCCCTTTTGGCAAACGCCATACAACAGAATTTTGCATACTCAAACTCTACTGTGACCATGGTATTCGCTTTCTAGAAACATCTGTGCAGGTGTGTTGACTGTTGAAGCTAAAATCTGCAGGACACCGGTCCTCCAAGACAAGTTTGGGCATCCACGAGCTAGCTTTTAGTGCAGATAAGTGGTTCCCAATTCCATTCCTCGAGACCATCCGCCTTGCACATTTTGTATGTCTTCCTTACTAAAGATACCTGATTTAGATCATCAGCTCAATAATAGACATCCAAGAACTGATCCTTGTGTGACAAATAAGAGAGACATAACAAAGTTTGCAGAGCAGGAGGGGTCCCGAAGACCAGAATTGAGAAACACTGTTGTAGATTAACTTTAAGAAAAGTTGGACTGGTTTGGAAACTTCAAAACAGCATGTTTTGTTGTACAATGAAACATTTAAACCTTTGGATGCTTAATTCCTCATGGAACAAGTTGTTTAAGCAATTAAAAAAAAGACTACAGCCTCACCTGCGCAAGTAATCGTTATCTGGTGTGTCTTCAGGCATTTCCTGGTTTAAGGCTCCTTGTGATATGTTTGCAGAGCGAGAGGAGGCAGACTGTCTGTAAACACGCTCCAGTTGGCCAGTTTCCTGGTTAAAGACAAGCCCAACGGCCTGCTCCTCATGCTGACCAGTGTCAGTTCTCTGGGAAAATGGTACATGAGGCTCTGGGGTATTTGGTGTGGACTCTATGGGTCTGTGTTCCAGTAGGTGTTCATTAGATTGTGAAACTGGAGCTACGCTGTGGAAGGCAGAACTAGAAGGTTGCCATGGTGTGTTTCTCTCAGTAGATGAAGGCTGACCTGTTCTGTCCCAGCGCCGGCTACCCTGATTGTAGGTGAAAAGATTGTGGCATACTCTACAGCGGTTCATGTGACTGTGGGGAGGGTTTTCACCGCTATAGGGTGACTGGTAATGAGATGGTCCTGGTTGCTCTGGGTCCATGTTGTTGTTGAGCATTTCCTGAGTCTGCTGGTCCTGTCTGCTGCCATCAAGAGGCTGGACCGTGTCCTGCGTTCCCTCATAATCCATAAAATAGCGGTAAAGGTTACAACGCAGGACACTGTGGATGGAAGAGGAGCTGCTCTGTCCCTCTTCTTCTGGAGGACGGTGCCTGCTGGAACTAGTTCCCGGTGTGCTGCCCCATCTATCACTAGCAGAAGTGTAAACAGGTGATTGAAAGGAAGTCTCTTGCTGTCGCAGGACAGAAAGAAGGCTAACAGAGGAAGCGCCAGTTCTTTGTGGAGTCATACTACTGCTTTGTCCATTAAGTCCACTGACTGTCCAGTCTGCTCCAGGGTGACGTCCTCCACCTTCCCTACCTGGTGGATGTTGTCGGAAATGCGGGACAGGTGCCATTCCAGTCACTCCCCTCCTGCCAGAGCTGGAAGAATGATTCCGCATGTTGCTGCCTCCACCATACACGCTGCTGAATGCAGAGGAGCGATTTGCAGCACGAGACTCAACAGAAAACCGTGACATCTGCAGTGGCTCTGTGCGTGCAGAAGAAAAGGTGTGAGCTTGTGCCTCCAGGGATGCCGAGTCTGAAGGGTCCTCATCAGGTGGAGATGGAACTCGTGCTGCAGAGCAACGGCTACAAAAACACACCATTCCAAGCGGCTGAACGCACATAAGAGTGTAAGGGCCAGAAGAATCGGAGGACCCATCAGTGGAAGCAGAATGGGCACCTCCAGCCTGAGGAACAGAGTTGCGGGAAGTGAGGATGTGCAAGAAATTGTGCAAGATGGGTGTGCGCCTCGCAGGCTGGGACTGCAGGAAGGAGCGCTGTCGGAGATGAGGCATCTCCACACTGTCCATTGGAATCTCAGGATCATCATCATTCTGAAACAAACGAATACAAGCACATTTATGGTCCCGAACTTTTAAAATAAACATGGGATGTCTTATACATGTCTTAAACAACAGCAAAAAGACTAACCGGTTGGTTCGAAGGGTTTACAATGGCAGTTAGAAGATAGTGACCCAATGGATCAAATCTCACCAATCTGCAAAAAACACAGAGAAGCCTCATAAAAGCATCAGATGGACTTGCCTGTACAGTAAATGTTCATTATTAAAGATTCACACAAAAAATTTTGAAACACAACTGAAGCTATGTTTTATAACAACTGAAATTTCTGTTCATCCATTGAAAGTATATGTATGTACCAAAGATTTGGGGCTTTAATGGGATAGTTCAACCAAAACTGAAGATTTTGTCATTGTTTACTCGGCCTTTACTTGTCCCGAAGCTGTTTGAGTTGAACACAAAATTTATAAACAATTTTGGAATCCTATGATCATTGACTTACATAGTATTTGTTTTTTCCTACTATGAATGTATATGCATAGCGTACTTTAAAATTCTTCAGTATATCTTTTTTGTCGTTCAACAAAAAAGAACACTTTTCAGAACCACTTCCCTCAGGTAATCCATCTTATGAGTACTTGCTAATAGTAATTGTGAAGCAAACATCACTACTAGCTATACACTTTTTATACACATATACACTTGTTTAACAACATACTTTACATGCCAATTTGCACAGAACAGCTGCACATATACCGTTGTGTATAGTAAAATACCTGTAAAATACCTGTATACACAATCCCGTCTTTCTAATTCTGTTGCACTGTAGAAGCTCCGTCACAAAAACTAATTTCTTGAATGTGTGAACATACCAGGCAATAAAGGTCTGATTCCGATTGAGGGTTAGTACATTTTAATTTTTGGCTGAATTATTCCTTTAACAAGTTTAAATAGATTATAAAAGCAGTCCATATGAATTGAGAGATTAATCCAAGTCTTCTGAAGATTTAAGCTTTCATTCTTGTTGAAACATTAATCAGCGTGCATTCATAAAGACCAAACAGAAGTTAAAAGTTTTTAAAACATAAATGGGGGACATTAATATAGCGACAAAAGTCTCTCATGTTTTAAAAAATGTCTTCATTCGTTTTTTAAAGATGAATAAAATAAAGTGCATCAAACCTGACTCTCTCTGTCTCACTGGCAGTTTTGACCACAGTGAAGGGCTCTTTCCGACTCCAGTCCCACAGATGCACCTCATTGTTGGTGGCAATGAGCAGCAGCTGAGCCGTGGGGTGGAAAGCAAGAGATGCGATTGCGGAGTTACTCTCTGTAAGCCAGCTTTCACTGCCACCCTGGAACAAAAAAAGACCTTAATTTTGGTGCAAAAGTTGCCGTAATATATCTACAGAGAAAGAATTAAAAACAAACTAACAGCAATCCTTCAATATTAGTAAAATCAATACTTACATGTAGGTCCCAGATTCTGACCTCTCCGTCCAGGCAGCCAGAAGCAATAAGCCCAGGGATGATAGGGTGAAAAGTTAGACACCAGGGTGTCCTGCGATGGCCCACCAATGAATGAACACACTTTCCTGATTTAACCTCAGTGATGTAGATGTTATGGTTCACATGTGTGGAAGCCATTAAAGACCTAGAAAAACACAAATGACAAAAAAAAAAAAAAAAAACTTTATTAGCTTGATGACAAGCCCTGATCAAAAAGGCATAATTAGAGGGTGAGTTTTATCAAATCAATCTACATACTGTAGATTCCTTTGGTCAAGCCTGAGTATGAAAGTGTAATCAAAGTGGTCTTACCTGTCCGGACTAAAGGCTAGCAGAAAGGTTGAGCGGGGACTGTCTGGTAACTCTACTTTCTGTGGTAGCAAAAGAAAAAATATTTCCTTCAGTCACATTCATACTATAATAAAATCTGATCACAACCAAGTTAATGACTATTATCAGGGCTTCATCTCTAACCATAAAGTTTCAATATTCATTTTAATTCTGCAAAAATAGGGAAGTCCAAACCACAGAGAACTATATCACTTGAATCACTTTCACAACCATGTGAAAGCCTCAGTGTCACACATTATTGCTGCAGCATGAGCTTTTAATAAGCAGTTTATCATGCATTGGTTTGGATGTTAACAGTTATCTGTAAAATTAATTACAGTTAAAATTATGGTTCGTGATGAAAGCAAGTCTTTTTGATAAGGGTTTCATTTATAAATGTGGCATACACACAAAACAGGTGGGAATATGCATACAACTATGCCCATGCAAGTTGTGATCTATAAAAACAAACTTGACATGAAATTGTGAGCAGTTGTAAGTAAACATGTTTAAATTAGGCCTTGTTTATACTAATACAATTTTGTTTTAAAACGCATAAGTTTTGCTATGGTTACGCCTTCCGTCCAAACTACCCCAGAATTTTCAAGCCCTGAAAATGAAGCATTTTGGAAACGCCAAAGAGGCAGTTTTCATTTTAAAATGAAAACTGCTTATTAGTGTGGATGGGGGGAAATGGAGACATCTGAAAACGGAGGCGAAGCTGCATCTGATTGGGGCTTTTTCCTTAATATTAAGTACTGTACACAAAGTTCACACTTGCATCCTTTCCTTGTAAGTTCAGACTTCACAAGTTTATAACGAACTTCCGAGGACGTGAGGACACGTCAAGAAAATCTTCAAATGTAATGGCAGTGTACAATTATAACCCTGGCTACGTTTCAATACCTTAGCAATAAAATGAAAACATGTCATAAAGCATAGTCTCTTTTTATTTTTATATTACCAATTTAAACATAACAGACACCAAAAAAGTTCAAGCATCATGTACATATTTATTTGACCATCATCTTCATTATAAGCAAATTTATAATGAAACAGAACCTAATTACTGCCTCCGTTTATTTTCATTGAAAAATATACACATTAAGCTAACTGTCTGGTTTTAGTATGTGCTTAATGTCAGACTATGTGCACACAATTAAGATTATCAGAGGAAATGCATGGTGAAATATGAAATAGCTGTATCTTTTGCAGAATATAATAATCAGCAAGCTATAATTTTAATAATCAATAATAATATTAATAATAATAATAAGTATAAAGTACAATAAGTTTACACAATATAGGAAATAAAAGCAAAATAAATTGGTCAAACATTCGCAATCGGTGTACATGGTTACCTAAATGTATAGGTATATTAACTTATGTTTGTGCTCAGCCAAAACACGTTACAAAACACAAGAACAAAGAGGTTAATAGATTCAAAAGACAGACTTGTTAGATATAGAACTACTACACAAGATGAATTATACATCACATTTTACAACTACAGAGAGATGAGATCCACCGGCAGTTTCGGGATGGACTGGCTGACGTTCGGTTGCTCTCAGCCGGGCATGTGCGCTCAGAGCTCCCACAGACTGCCTAAAGCTCAGACGCAAAAATACACTAAAGCAGCTTTCAGAGCATGCCAGAGTGCGTGTATGGTCACTTGATGTGCATTTTCAGCGATATAGTGTGGACGGAGATCTTTTCAGAAACGCTAGATGAAACGCCAGTGTGGACGCGGATCGTTTTCATTCTAAAACCATGTTTTAAAACCAAAACGTATTAGTGTAAACGGGGCCTTTAATATTGGACCACTTTAAATCATCACATGAGTCATAATCATTAATAAATAAATTACAATTTATTATGGTGTATGTTCACTTTTAGGAAGGTTTCTATGCTAAGTTTTATAAATGCGGCCCCAGGTCATTTCTTAAAACTAAAAAAGGAAAATATAAATGCTATATGACTATATATTTTTAGAATTTACTCAAAAAACCTCTAATCATTTTGTTTTATTAGAACTTCAAATGATAAATATCTTACATTTCTAACATTCCCAAAACAAATAAAAAACTAAATAACTCACAAACTGTGATAGTGATACAAGGCTGCGTATTGCTTCTGAGACATTTTACTGACCATTGCAAGTACAATGTCTACAAGGTATCTGTAGAAATTGTGTGGATGAATCATTTACCTGACTTTGCCATTTCATTCGCTGTGTCTTCTCTTCTACAAGCTGCTGCAGAACCCTATATGATGCAAGACCCGGTGCTCCCCGCTCTCGACTGGACAGGATACATACTGAGTTCCTCTGTCCCAGCTTCATCTCCAAACACTCTTCCTCACTCCCTCTCTCTCACACCAGACCCAGAGCCGTCCACCGGCCCAAACACAAAAGACTACCTCTGCTGCTACCACGTCATCATTCTGAGAGAGAAAAAGATTATAACGCATCAGAAACTGAACAAATCTTAGCACAAATATACATAACATACCTTGATTTGACTATAAATTTCCCATTTGCATTCTTGGGAAGGAGTTATCTAAATGCAATGTCAAATCTTCCAGCATTGTACATCACCATTAACTTTCTCTGAATAGCATCTCTGCACAACGGCACAGGTGTCAAAGAAGATTACAGGGTTTGACAGGATAGTTTTACAGCATATCAAATCAAAACTACAGAACTAAATGATGGTGTATCCAGGTTGTCACATGAATAGAAAGGGCATGAAATAGTAGTGAGAAAAAATTAATCAGCATTGGTCTACTTTTCCATCTAATTAGGGTTCATATGCATTTTTACTACTAAAATTTCATGACTTTTCCAGAACTTTCAAGTACATTTTCATGACATAATATTTCATGTAATATCTAAAAATAAATGATTAATAATAAGAAAAACAATAACGTTCAAATTTATAACAGCATATTATAGAACACGCAACTAACTAATTTGTTTAAATTAGTTTTTTTATTGATTTTTTTTGATAAAGCTTGCACAGCACTAACAATGTGAGAACAATATTTTGGCCAAGGACAGAAAAGAAAACAACTATCCTATATTCAAGTTAGGGCTGCACAATATATTGTTTTAGCATTGATAAAGTAATGTGTGCATTCACAATAGTCACATCGCAGGATATGCAATATTGGGATGGGATTATAGTTTAATTTAGAGTTTAATCAAAATGAACTAAAAGTTTATCATCTGTATGCATTTTAAAGAGATCGTTCACTCAAAAATTACTTACCATTTTTATTACACCCTTCACTTGTTTTAAACATTTATGAGCTTTCTTTTTTTTAAATAAAGACAAAAATAATATAACCTAATAACTCATATAGTATTGAAACAATTGAAGTGTGAGTAAATAGTAAGTACATTTTAATCTTTGAGTAAACTGTCCCTTTAAGACCTGTGACTGTTAAACATTTCAATATTTCAATTTTTTAAAAATCGGGCCAAAAGAAATTTTTTGGTAACTAAATTAAAGATTAAATAATATAGAACGAAGACTATGCAGTGTTAATTATTCAATATCTGTACCGAAATAGTGAATACCTGAAAACTATAATTCACTTTTATCTTGACTATGTTTTATTTATCTATGCTTGTAATTTATTTGTTATATATTATTCGGGATTCACTCTCTAACAACCCCCCCCCCCCCCCCCCCCCCACCCCAATCAATCAAAAATAAAACTTTTAAATCATCTGGTGAAATTATATTCTCGTCGCAACATATCACAGAAATACAAAATATTGTAATGTCAGATTGTTCCAATATCGCGCAGCCCTAATTTAAGTATACTGATATTTGTTAAACTAATCTTCATAACTTTTCCAAGCCTGGAAAATGCCATGTCAAAATTCCATGACTTTTCCAGGTTTTCCATGACTGTATAAACCCTGTCTTATGATGAATTAGTCAACTATGGAGGACGCAAAAACAATAAATAAATACGCAAATAAATGAGTAAATAAATCCATAAATTCATGCATAAATAAAACAATAAATAAGCAAAAAAAATGTGTATATATATAAACTTTCTGCATAAATAAATGTATAAATAATTAATAGAGCAGTCAATCATCAGAAGCCAGTAAAAAAAAATTATAGTTTTTTTTTTTTTTAATGAAAAGCAAATGTTTTCTAACGATCAACCAATAATGGCATGAAGACCACTTTCTGATGATTGACAGAACCAGTCTCATTAGCATGTTTACTGAGGAAAGGTAAATACATAACTACAATCAAGAATGAATAAACATTTGGGAGGGGGCGGGGGGTGGAGCTTTCAGTTTACCATTTTCTTATTCCCGTAACATTCGTGTAATTTATTAAATTTTGTACCTGCCTGATTGAGTTATGCAGGAATTTGTGGATTTTTATATACATTTACTCGTTTATTATATATTTGTGTATTTATTTATTAATTTATAGATTTAAAAAAAATAAAGGTTTCATCTTTCATAGCCAACACCTTGACAGAGAAAAAAATCATTAATTAAACATAAATTAAACAAAAAGTTTACTTTTTCTTTCATAAGGTTTTCCACACAGGCTTTAAGTCAACTTAAAGTATGTCAAGTTAACTATGGTAATTTATTTTTTGTTATTTTTTAGCTATGCAAAAGTAACATTGAATACATTTGAAATTTACTTTTAATTCTAGTTAATGAACACTGTGTATTTTTCTTCAAACAACATAATACTGAACACAATCATACTTTTAAAGTGTATGCTTTACTTAAAAAATTGAAATAGTAACAACATTAAAAGATATTCACACAACAATCTAACTGAACAGAGACCTCAATACCTAATACACAATACACAATGACGAGTCTAACTACAATAAAAGCTAACCATATTTCCATTTCAGTTCTACTAATAAAGAATTAAGCAGTAAATAAAAATTAATAAATTAAAAAATAAAACAAACAAAAACTATTACATGGGTAAACAATGCATAGTTTAACTATCAAAAATGCAAAGACTACTATAAATACGTAGTTATTATTTACAGGAATGCAATTACCAAAATAACAGGGTTAAAACACGTGGAAAAGCTTTACACGTTTTGTGACACTATAGCACGTCAGGTCAAAGATAGCTCATGTTTGACTCCAGCTAACGTTAGACATATATAAGTTAAGTTTAACCTGCAATAAAAGGAGTGTCACTCATTACAGTAAATTCATTGTCACAGAATAAAGCAACTAGTGAAGGTTATAACGTTAACGTTAAATTACAATAATTACTTTTTAATAAAGAAATTAACTTTACAGCTTTAACATTTAGCAGTTAGCAAGCTAATTTACATGCGAGGCAAAGTATCAATCCACACAATTACATAGTGTTTAAATTAGGAGTCTTTTGTTCAGTATAAATTTAAAACAACACCTCTCATGGTCTCAGGTTCGGCCTACCTTTTCCTCTTATTTTTGTCCGATTTTAATCCATGAAATTGTAGATATGTAGTAGCGGAAGTACGTTAGGTGAAACTTTAGCAATATTTCAGATTTTCTTTAAGGAATATTTTTGTAATGTTTTTATTTTCCCCCCAAAAGTGGGTCGTGTGTACTTTAGATTTGTTGCTGTGTGTGTCCTGCCAAAACGAGTCCAGACAAAGCCAGTAGAGCACAGATCCTTCATAATCAATTACCGAAAACATCGTTCATGAGCCAGCCAATCAGGTTGATCTGTCAAAAAAAAAAACACAGATGAACCAGTCAAGATGAAATCTTGTGCTAAACAGCCAAGTTATATTTACATTCACATTCCGTTGTCCTATATTTATATTTGATCATGGGCAGTTAAGTGATCAAATAATTTTTATTCACATATTCAGTCTTGCTAAATGTTAGATTACACATAAACTAAGTCAAACATATATACCAATTGAATAACAAAAGAGGGGATTTTCATTCAGAATTTTTTTTTCAAATGACGGAGAAGTCATGCACCTTAAACAAAGAGAAAACAATCAACTATTGTTTGCTGTTTTGCTCCAAGTCCTTCTCCGTTCGTGAGAGCCAATCACTGCTCGTGTTTTTGAAGCTGCTGAACACATTGACCAATGGCAGCTCTCCGTTACCCGGAAAAGCTTGCAGCTCGTCTTGTGTTTATCAGCCACGACAGCCAGGCAACGATCTTTCAATGAGGTTACTGTACTGTGCCTCATCCGCTCGTCCGCAAGTATGGATTCCTGTTTTGTGATTGTTGCCTTTCTCTTTGCTTTCAGTCTTTCCAGTGGAGAGAGGACGCTAAAGTTTGTCACTGTGGTGAGTTTAATAATACATCTGTCCTTTAAAAAAACAAACGTTAAGTATGTAACAGACAGTAACTGAATAACCGGGGCCTGAAGCTATTTACAAAACCTTTCGTTTTAAAAACATTGACAACGCGAAGTCTCAGTCAGACCTTTTATTATGTGCCTCGTGTGTTTCTTTAGGGGTGTCATATTTCTGTTATTCAGCTGTGTGCCTTTCTGTAATTACCTGTTAGTTGATGTCTAAATTCGTGTTTCTCTCTCGAATGTTTTGCTTTCTACAGATTTTCGCATTTTCTGTAATTTCGGTAAAATGTAGTTTTCGACTTGATCTTTATTAATTCCTCATTAAAGTACAGATTGAGCAATCTGAAGAGCAGACCGTCACATGACATGTTGTTTTGCTTCATTTCACCTCCCATTTTCGTCAAAGCAATAAAACACCTTTGTAGGTTAAATGTCACCTATTTTTTTTAGTAAGGGTAACATTATTGCTTGGCTTTTAGGTGAGAAAGATCTCTGAAATTAGTAATGCAACTGCAAGCCTATTACAGAATGTCTGTCATATGAACGAATTGGTAAACCAAGGGCTAACTTGTACTGAATCCATTTGTAACGTTAATGGATAAAGATAGAAAAAGTGTCTGCAAGGTAATTTATGGAGCAATTCCATGCAAATGTCAACCATGTTTCACGAAAATAGCGAAACCCTTTCTAGATTTTTTATTTTTTATTTTTTTGCTTAGGCTTGTATTTTACTGTACTCTAAAAATACTCAAAAACGTATCTGTCAGTGTTTTCAAGCCATTCTATTTGATTACCAAAGTCACAAATGTGTCAATTTCACATCTGTCACATCCATAACAGAGAGGTGTCGCATCCATAATGGAGCTTTTTCCTCAAAATGCAAAAATGTTAAATAAAATACAGCCAATCTTTTCTGTTCTATAGTGAGCCAACTCTCATTTTATTGATTATCATTGTTTCTTTGGGGTTGTGCAGTTTGAGTCACAGAATTTCTACAAAATATGTTGAATACTGTAAACTCGCAGACTTTTTGGTCACATCCATAACACATGTTTATTTTTACTCATTTAAAATATAACACATGTTAGCAGATTATTATTTTTTCTGATCCCATAACTCTGTGGTGAGTTACTTTGGAAAATATAAACCGATGTTTCAATATAATCTTAACATATACTTTCTGTGCATTTATGTTTTAGGTTTTTACTGAAAATGTCACATCCATAACAATTTAATAATTTACAATTCAAGTTTTTAATGAAATTTTCCTTAGTTTTTAAATTTAAAATAAAGTTACTTTGATATGATTTTTGCTGTTCTCAAAGAAACAGCAAGCAACAAATTGAATTAAATGAGGAATTATTAAAGTAGAAATACTAAACTATTTTCATGTGAAACTTACTTCAATGAACATTTAAATCTCTTTCACCTTTATCTCTCAGTCCATTCTCAGCACGTTATATAGCACAATATGCACGATATTGGAAAAATCAAAAAATTTTTTAGTGTGCAATATATATTGTGTTATGAATTCGATTTCGGCCACGCAGTGGCGCAGTAGGTAGCGCTGTTGCCTCATAGCAAGAAGGTCGCTGGATCGCTGATTCGAGCCTCGGTCAGTTGGTGTTTCTGTGAGGAGTTTGCATGTTCTCTTTGCGTTTGTGTGGGTTTCCTCCGGGTGCTCCGGTTTTCCCTACAGTCCAAAGACATGCAGTTCAGGTGAATTGGGTAGGCTAAATTGTCGGGTGTGTGTGTGTGTGTGTGTGTGTGTGTGTGTGTGTGTGTGTGATTGTGTGTATGTGTGTGTGTGTGTGTGTGTGTGTGTGTGTGTGTGTGTGTGTGTGTGTGCGCGCGTGCGTGCGTGTGTGTGTGTGTGGATGTTTCCCAGAGATGGGTTGCAGCTAAAAGGGCATCCGCTACATAAAAAATGTGCTGGATAAGTTGGTGGTTCATTCCGCTGTGGCGACCCCGGATTAATAAAGGGACTAAGCCGACAAGAAAATGATTGAATGAAAACGATTTCATCATAACTTTTTAGTAAGATTTTATCATTTTAGATTGATTGGTATGATTCTGTAGGGGAGTGCATTTGCCTAAAATATAACAAACAATCTATAAGCATACATGAATTTATTTAAGAAAAAGATACCAATTAAATAAACAGCTTTTATTGTTTTCCGAGAAGTCAAACAGTATTCAGGTATACAGTAATTGAATAATCAAATGTAAAAAATACTGGGTAGTCTTTGTTTTATAAACAATTAAAAAAAAAAATCATTATTGATTTTTCGAAGTTACAAATGGTACAATTTCTTATGCCCGAATGCTTTTAAAATCCTCACACAGTCACAAGCCTCAAAAACACTTTTATAATGATCAATTATAATCCAAACTCAGCATTGTGTATACTCGCAATGTCATTATTGTGAATGATCACATTGCCCCATTGCTTTTGAAGCAATATATTCTGCAGCCCTAATTTAAATATATGTTAATTAATCTTGTTTGTTTTAATAATTCCATGTGTTTAATCTACTTTTGTTGTTATACTGTTGTATTTGAGATGTGAATGTTTTACCTGTATATTGTTGTAATTAGTTTCTCATATTCCTGCTTTACCAGACAAAAACCTCAACTGTCCTTTCATTTTGAGTATAGTCATGTTAGATACTGAAACTTGGCTACTGTTTAATAGTGTTTCATTTAAAGTGTGTTCTGGTTAATCACGATTCCTTGCAAATGAGGAAGTTTAAACCAGAGCTTGTCATTTTAAGCACGATTGAATAACATGGTTATAAATGAAAGTGTTCACTGTAAACCTTCATGAGACTGATAATGCAGTAACCGTCTCTCAGAGCTGAAACTTTCTAAACGTGGCTGGTTTCTGTGAAGCCCAGAGATGAAGATAAGGAGATAGACTGAATCTGTTTATCCAATTAGAATGTGTTTACAGACTTCTGTGGCTTGTGTCCGGGTGTCAGCATGAGCACATGACAAGCTCAGTTTGCTGATCTAGCCACTGTTGCACAGTGTAGTTCATTATCCTGAACACACACACTCATGAAGAATTTGACTTCCTCTCCCTCAGCTCTACCGACATGGTGACAGATCTCCGATTAAGGCCTATCCAAATGATCCATACAAGGAGAGTGACTGGCCTCAGGGTTTTGGACAGCTCTCTCAGGTATACACAAACACACATTCCATACCCTCTTTGTTTTTGTTTCATGCTTTTGGGGGAGTATTATGCAGAATTTATCAGATGTATGCATGATGCATATTCATAAATGTTTCATCTGTGCAAATGTTTTCTTTTTCTTCCATTTTTGACCTCTTGGTGCGCAATTAAAAAGGCCACTTTGTGCCTGATCAAAATAATGTGAATAAGTGTAGTTTCACAAACTAATTTCGCTAGGAGCAGTGATATGATTGACTGCAGCTGGCCTCCCATCTACATTCATTAGTTAGCCAATCAGATTAATTCAAAATATCAGTAGCCTAGCTAGAACTACTCCCTTATCTTCGTTTTCCAAAGAAATCCCCCATCCACCCATTCTCCTCCTTTCCTCCTTTACCATGGGGAGCTCTCGAGAACAAGCTGATCTCGTACTCCCCTCACATGCTCTATGGACCAGGCGTTACCCCTGTGCTCAACTATCTCCGAGCACAGTGTTCGCTCCGGGGACAGCATGCCAAACCTGCTAACATTTGTCAAACAATATCTGAGTGTGAACTCTTGAAAGGCTGCTTAAAATATGTCTAGGTTGACTCGTAGCCCTAATGTCAAAGCATATGGTTGTAATTGTTGTGTAAAAGCATTTATAGCACCTCTGTGCAGCGTTAAGTGTTCTGTGAAAGACACCTTAATGCCACCTCAGAAGTGCTTCTATGTCAACTTTGCTTTGTAAATTTGGCATGATAGACTGCTCTTTCAATCTGTCGCCCAGAATCCAAACATGACATACAGTTGAAGTCATAATTATTAGCCCTCCTGTGAAATGTGAATTTTTTTATGTTTCCCAAGTGATGTTTAACAGACCAGGGAAAGTTTTACAGTGTTTCTTTTTTTTTTTTTTCTTCTGGGGAAAGTCTAAAAGTGTGTGGCTGGAATAAAATCAGTTAGAAAAAAATGACGGTCAATATTTATACTATTAGTCCCTTTAAGATTTTTTTTCATTTGGCTACAGAACAAACCACTGTTGTCCAATGACTTCCCTAATTATCCTAACTTGCCTAGTTAGCCTTATTTACATAGCGCTTTAAACTGAAGATTATCTTGTAAAATATCATATAATATTATTATGCTAAAGACAAAAGAAATTAGTTAGCAAAGCTTATTTAGTCATTAGTTATTAAACCTTAGCTAGTTTAAAAATGTGTTTAAAACTGTATACTCTGTTAAACAACACTTGGGAAACCCTCTTATAAGAATTTACATTTTTAATAAAGAGTGCTAATAATTTTTTTTACTTTAACTGTACACCCAAAAAGGAATGTCTAAATACCTCACTTAAATTCTTAGGTCCATAAACATAGTCTGGTTTTCATTTTAAAACAGACACTTGAATAGTTTATGTTCTAAAGCTTTATTTGTTTATATTAAACAGTAAATTAATTATATATTGTCATATTATAGTGTGGCTTCAAGATTGTCTGTTTTTGAATTTTATAAAGGAGCATATTAAAAAGCCCTTTCAGTCTGTAGCATGTATGTTATATGTTTATTTTGCTAAAACTCTTAAACAGTTTTATTGCTTTCATTCGAATGGATGGATGAAGATGGAACCGCATGTGACGTATAAACTTGAACGTAGTAAGCATTACACCCATGTGACTTCATTATACTTGCCAGGCCTGCAGCTAGCATGGAGAGAGAGGTGGTTCTTTTTTCTCAAAAAGGGGACCTTTTTGCAATTGTTCGCCTTATTTTCTATTTAATTATGAGTCATCACAACCACACGTTTTTATGTACGAAAAACATTTTCTTAAAATTTAGAGCAAAGAAATTTGAAAACAATACTTATTTTTAAATACAAATTTATCACATCATATATCCTTTGAAAAAAAAAGAATCTGTTATAGTTTTTAATTACAACTGTAGCCTATTGTCTATTATTAGGCAATTAACAAACTGGTCAGCACATTCAGCTTTCCTCAGTCAGAATTTGGGAGGTCTAATTTGACACTGTAGAACAGGAAGTCACACCAAAGCAGCCAACACATTATTCGGCTTGGTCCTAAAGCCTTCTTCAATAAGTTATTTTCATGGCTATTTTTTTATATATTATGGCATAGCAGTCAAAACAGGACAAATGACCTCATGTATGGGACAAATCCCCGTTTTTTTATTTGTTAGTTTTTTTTTTCTTCTTTTTTTTCTTCAACATGAATGCATTTCTGTTTAATCACAGCTTCAACATGATGCTGCAGTTTGTTGAATTGTTGAAAGATTGTGCCAAGGTTATCAGGAAACTGCTAATGCATGTTTCAGCCTTGCTAAGATAAATGTCTTATTTGTTGCACATACAGCTGTAAAAACTGTCTACTTGAGTGCTTTATTGCTTTTATAAAACATTTTTATTACTGTAACTTGACCGTCTAAATTTTCCAGGAGGGAATGAAGCAGCACTTTGAACTGGGTCAGTTTTTAAAGAAACGCTACACAGGATTCCTGAGTGAGGACTATAACAGATATGAGGTAACTATCCATTTAAAATTTTCCATTTACTAAACTTAGAGTTTGCTAGACTTCAGTTGTCTTTATTGTATTTGTGCTGCAGATATACGTTAGAAGTACAGATATTGACCGGACTCTGATGAGTGCAGAAGCTAACCTGGCTGGCATGTTCCCACCTAACGGTTCTGAGGTCTTTAACCCAGATCTGAAATGGCAACCGATACCAGTTCACACCATCCCGAGTGAAGAAGAGCGGGTAAGACATCACACTGAACCTTTGTTTTCTCTTTTTTTGCAGCATACTGTAACTTGGCCCTGACCTCTGTTTGGTGAGGAGGTCATATTTGCACAACAGCAGCATCAATAATTGCTCTTGGTGTTTGAATACATCACCTGCCTGCCTACAGCGTGTTTGGGTTTGATGTATTTGTTTTTCTTTTCAGCTACTCTCATTCCCACTAGAAAACTGTCCACGTTACAAACAGCTCATGAATGAGACTGCAAAAACGGATGTTTTTCTCAACATGACTGAAACCTATAAGGTGAGTCCATCTACAGCAAAAATTCATTAATAAAAGCAGATCAACTGTCTGTGGACTTTTCAGTATTTAAATTTTTTACAGTGACTGTACCACAGTATAGAACAGAAGGAGCCAAACAGTAATACTCAAAGTTCAGTTGGTTTATGAATATTTATTAGTTTGCAATTTTTTTTATTTTAATCAGTAGTTGTAAAATTTAGTTTGGAATATTAATAGAAGAGTCTTCACTTCCTGTAAAACTTCTTTATTGTTGCAAATTTTATCATTTCTCAATTTGTTATGTTCGGTTCAATGTTTTTATTCCTCCCTTTGATTCGAAAATATTCTATTTTTAAGAATATACTAAATCCATAGATTTCTGACCCTGCGAACATAAATATATTTTGTAAGGAAAACATCACATTTGCATATATAGTTGGAGAAAAGGAACACCTTAATTTATGAATTTATATATATGTTTTATGAGTCTTAATTACATTTTTTTTTTATGTGTTTAATGTTGGTTATTGTATTTCATGCAGGATTTTATAGAGATGGTGAAAAATAAAACAGGGCTGGAGTTGGCCTCCATTGAGAATATTTGGAGCGTCTATGATACATTATTCTGTGAGGTGAGTTTCACCTGCTATTCATGAGCACACTACTCCATGTCTAGCATTAAGAACCCAATCAGTCACAGTCATTAGTTGTTTCTTTTGTCAGTAATTGTTTTGCTTACAACACATTCTAATGTTCGTGAGTGTTTCATCTTGACACCAGTGGTGTAAAGTAATAAATTACGGATACTCAAATTACTGTAATTGAGTAGTTTTTCACATAAATTTTAATTTACTAAGTAGTTTTAAAAATGTGTACTTTTACCTTCCCTTGAGGACATTTTTAGTGCAATAGCGGTAATTTTACTCCACTACTTTTCTTCAACCTGCAATCACTACTTTATTTTTCCGTCTATGGGGATTAGAAAAGTCCGTCCTATGATTCTTGCCCAATCAAATCACACAAAAAATCTTATCATACTGAATAACCTGAAAAAGACATGGGTGATTTATAAATGTGACAAACTATTAGTAAGCAATTAAAGTGCCTTAAGAAGGTTATCCAAAATTGTTAAATGCAATTATCAAGAGACTGTTTAGACTGCATGTCACTGATGAGATGATTGCGGATGTCGACTGTATGATGGATGTTGACTGTATCATGACCAAATAATTAAATGTACTACAGAATGTTCTGTTTACACACATGCACAGATTAACAGATTACATGTAAGCACATCAGCTTTTTATAGCATAATACTTACTATCTATTATTCCTGAGTACTTTTAAAAGCTCTATGTTTTACTCATACTTTGAGTAATATTTACAACAGATACTTTTACGCTACTTGCACTGCATTCATAATGAAGTAATGGTACTTTTACTTGAGAATGATTTTTCAGTACTCTTTCCATGTCTGAACCATGCAAATTTTGCAATAAATATAAAATGTAGTGTTTTATTAAGATAATTAAAATATATTAATGAACATCTATTTTCTTCAGAATATTTTGTTTTGTGTTCAACAGAAAGAAATTCATAAAGATTTCGAACCACTTAAGTGTGAATAAATAAAAAATGTTTGGGTGAACTTTCCCTTTAAGCAGTTTACTGTATGCTTCGATGTAAGTGTCTTGCATTGATGGCCATTTTGCCAGAAGCCAAATCAGTTGCAAAGAATTGTTTAGAACTAAGTGTTCAGGCAGAAAACCGTCAGATCTCTCCAACTCTTTCTGCATTCTCTTTTCACAGGCACAACATGGGAAAAAGGCGCCAGATTGGGTTACTCAAGATGTCATGCAGACGCTGAAGCTGTTGAAGAACTTTGGTTTTCAGATTTTGTTTGGAGTCTACAAGAGAAAGGAAAAGTGCAGACTACAGGGAGGTGAGAGCTTAGTTCATTCATGGGATCTGCTTCTCATTCAGCAATGATCTATTATTGACTAATGCCACTAAATAAAATAAAATTAAGTAAATGTTTATAAACATTATTATAAGTAAAATGTTTCATTTCTCTTGCTCTAAAACAGATCTTTAAAATCTAACAGTATTCAAGGGAAAAAAGAACTAAAAATATCCGAAATGTTTGTGGTATTCACTTTAAAACAACATTACTTATAAACATCAAGTCTAAATCAGTTTTGAGTAAAACTGAATTTGAGTATGTGTGCATGTTTTATTTATTTATTTATTTATTTATTTATTTATTTATTTATTTATTTATTTATTTATTTTTGCTTTCTTGTGCTGATACTGATATTGCAACTTTAGTTTTTGAATATAGTACAATGATTTAATATATATATAAAACATTATAATATATAATAAAAACATATTCAGTAAAAAACAGTATATAAAATTTTAAACAAAGCACTATAAAATATATTTATAAAATAATAACCAAAAGAAAATATTTATATGAAGTTAAACATTTAGAGTATTTCTGTTAACAGTTTGTTTGTTTGTTTGTTTGTTTGTTTGTTTGTGACCATCATCAACATAACTTAAGAATTCTAGTCTTTCAGACATAAACTGTAACAGTAAAATATTGTAGTATTTTCACAGTTACACAGACAGATACTTATGTGCACATAGGCAAAGCATTGTTGTGGGAATAGCAAGAGGCTGCTGTCTGAAATTATGTTCAATCGTTTTTACAGGGGGTGGTAAATGTAATGATGTAAAACTCTATTCTAGATTCAGTTTAAAAAACACAAATGCACTAATACGGAAAACTGCTCTTGTACTCTTCATTCACAGGCCTGCTTGTAGATCAGATTATCAAGAATCTCTCGATTGCAGCAGCTACAGACTCTCAAAACAAAGTCAAGATGATTGTTTACTCTGCTGTAAGTCACATGGTCCTGTTTACACTTGGATTAAGATGCCTTTTGGTCAATCAGATCATGAATAGAAGAGGGAAATGCATCCTTGTTTACACCTGCTATTTAATTTCATCTCTTTTGTTTACTTGCACGGTTTAGTTTTATTAAGAGGGAGGGTTTTACAGGCATTTTCAAACCCTTTGATCTAATGTTGTGAAATAAGGTTAAGTAATTTGAATATAAACATAAAAGGAGACAATAGAAACAGATGAAGCTTTTAATTCAGTACAGTTTCACATGGCAAATTTTAAAATCTGACTTTAACATAACAACTTGTAATGTTTAAGAATAACATAAAAAGATCAAATATATGATGCAGACCCACAATACATGTCAAACACAATACATGTATTTCTTAACACCATTGAGTTTTTACTCAAACCAACTTTTTGTATTTGCAAAGTCAAGTGATCCTTTACGAAGCAGATTGTGTTTGCTTGCAAATGCTGGATTTGTTTGTGCAAGTTTGGCACAATTAACAGTCCGTTTAAAAAAAAAAATATTTCATGGATATTTGAAAGCATTAAAACTAAATCAGGTTTCATCTGCTCTGAAAGTGGTTAAAATTGGACAATCTCAAAACAATTCTGATCCTATTTACTCTTTTTTACTTGGCATCAACAAAACCACATTTTTAAAGGGCACTCATTAAAATTCTCATCGGAAAAATTTTTGAGTGTTACTGGGGGTTATTACAAGACTTTTGAGCTTTTATGACTTAAAGAAATTGTATCATAATGGAGGTCAGCGAATTTACCATATATGGTTCCTAACACAATAATAGCAGGTATAAACAAGGCCTAAAGCTCCTAAATCCTGAACAAAGAAAGTTTATATAATATTCTCTCATCAATCTCTTTTCTCAATAGCACGACACAACAATTGTAGCCCTCCAGGAAGCTCTGAACGTCTTTAATGGTGTACAGCCACCTTATGCCTCATGTCATATGATTGAACTTTACCAGGAAGACAATGGGTAAAACATATATGCTCTATATTATCTTTATCAGCTTTTTCAGAAATTCATGCTCTAAAAGACATCTTTGGTCAACCAAAACATTCCACTGTTCATACCTTTCAGGATGTTTTCAGTGGAGATGTTTTATCGCAATGACAGCAGCGTGTCTCCGTATGCAGTGTCTTTACCAGGATGTTCTCAGCGCTGTCCCCTACAGGACTTTGTGAACATCACTCGTGAAGTCATTACACTGGACTGGAATAAAGAGTGTCAGCTGAGCAAAGCATCCACAGATTCAGGTAAACGTATAAGCATTAATAAACGTTTTTTATTGCTTACAACTTGAAACGACTATATTGGATTTACTGACTATTGTAGCTTTTTTTTGACAGTATTAGTCTTTATTTTGGGGAGTATAAGGCTGTTTCTCAAAATGCGTTCTTCAGCCATCTTGCGTCCTCGTGTTCTCATGTAACATCATCAACTGCCAAAGTTCAGTTTCAATACTCAAGAGCGCAAGAACAGAGGACGAGTGAAAGTTCACGGATGTGTTCTTGATATTGAGGACGCACTGATGCAGACTTGAGCCCCGAACTCGCTCTAGAAGTCCCAGAAGTCATTGCGACTGGAGGTGGGAAGTGTAGCATTTTTATATAGGTTTATTATTAAAGTTCAGAGATTAAACTTATTAATCTCAGAAGTTTCTCTAAATGAAACGGTGAATATAGACATTACCATGAAAATCTTAAAGGAATGAACATATTAAAGGTGTTTATTTGCTGAAATTGGTATTAAAATCTTTTTGTGTATTGTGCAACGTATATTTGTAAAGTCTTTATGCATAGTATATATTGTGAAAAGGGGAAAAACAATAAATCGTTGTATGAGTGCTGTAATGTTTAAATATTTTTTGGTTAAAGATGCGTAAGGGTCTTGTGACCATCAGGTAGAACGCAGCATCTCATTTCTCACAGGATGCGTTCTTTGTCCTCGCAGTCTCCCGAGTTCGTTCTTCCGAGGTGACCTAGCAAGACCAGTCTTCAAAAGAACACAAGTCCGTTCTCTGTGTTCTTGGAATTAAGAAACAGCCTAAGGTTTGATCCTGTTGACAGTTGCTTGCCTGACCATCTCCGTGTAATAACCCTGAATTTGGATCCACACTTCCTTGTCAGTATCCCATTCACATTACACATACAAACCAATATTAAAATTGTAAACTGATCAAACAGTGGCATTTCAGAACCAATCAAGCACACATTCATAAAAAAGCGTTACACAAAACAGAGGGCAACATTCTGTTTCACCACACAGAACTTCCTCAAAAGATGCAAGACTGTAACTCCCTTGTTTACCACATAACCCACTGAAACTTGTTAGTCAACAATGTTTTAGGTTAAGAAGAAATAACACACCATGAGCTTGTATGCTGACAGTTTCTCTGTATGTAAGATCAGATGAGAGAATCCCTCCTAAAAGACAAAAACAGTATTCATTAATGTCAGTAACACTGCTGGTAGTCAAACAACATTAGTTTCATTTCAAAATCCACAACAGAAATTTATTAAGAGACTTTGAGTTTGAGACTATTATCTAAATATAATATATATTATATATGCATTTATTAATATAATAATAAAATATGTAATATATATGCATTTACAAAGGGTTAAATTGAGAAAACCTGATAATCAAAACACAGTAAATACTTTTAAAAATAAAAATAAAAAAACATTATGCAAAAGTCACTTTCGTACACCATTTTCACTATTATATTATATAGAACATACAATAGAACTTATTTTAACCTTCATATAATACATGTATATAATAAAAATTTATGATGACAAAACACTGCAATATCTCATAAGCATGACCACAAGAGAGATGCCAACCAAAACCAATACTGTAGATGTTTTGTTCGTTTTTAGACCATTGAGGTATGATCAGTTAAAGCACAGCCCTCTTCTGGATTGGGGCAGGAAACAAAACGACAACTCTAAAACTGAAAAATTTACATTTATAGCAAAGCATAATCGGTCACTTTTAAATTAAAAAATTGCTGCTCTTTAGAAACTGATTTTTTATTTTTTTATTATTATCAATAATAAGCTATAATATCTATCCATAGTTATATCAATCTCCTCACCCTGTTCTCTGTCGGAGCTCTGGGGTGATTCTGTTAGCTGATGCTTCTGACGGTTGTAAATGTATGAGCTCAGAATCACAGTAAAAACATATGCAATATACATCCCCAAATAACCTGTGAAAGATAACAGAGCAAGAAAACATGTACGTTTTTGTCACATGTAATCACTTTGTCAACATTTAATCTGTTTCTTATTCAATTGAAAACCTTGAAGTTTGTATTAACAGTGAAATGTGTATGTCTTCAATATAAATTGAGAGTTGGTTTAAATAGGGTGAAGTGAAAGTCAAGTAAACAATTATCGGACCCACGGATTCTCCCAAGGAAATGTGGCCTTTATACAGGACAGTGAAGGTCCAAAACACAGCAGCCATGTAGAAAATGACATCACGAAGGAATGGACGAGACGCCACAGTAAAAGGTTTAACCAGAGCAACACTCCCCGCGACCACTGTTGTAACAAAGATTCCCGCTCCTAAAAAAGCAATTAAGAAACATAGAGTAAGTCACAACAAAAAACAAAATACTTTTGTTTTTATTTAGTGCAAAAAGAGACCTATATTTACTATGAATGAACATAAATATGTCAATGAATCAACATTATAATATACACATGTACACACACAATTATGTATATACACGTAACAAAAAAAAGAATAAGATACCACTTGAAATTTCTCATATTTTCTGGATTTCTTTGGCATAAAAATGTTTTTCAGCAACATTAAAGCATGATTTTAAGAGTTAAGCAATTAGTATTTAGCGTAATACATTAGTCTTTGGTGTTACATATTGTTATTTAGTGTAATATATTTATTTATTGTATTTAATTTTTTTAGAATGAAGTGTTATCAGACTATGAAAACATAGAATGGAAATCATTTAACCAATTAGAATAGATTAATTAACCCAGAATAATCTTTTCAGACTTTTAGAGATTAGGAACTCCATATGTCTTCATTGGATAGTACATCCCCTTCGATCATTGACAAATGCCTTGACTGGTGTAAAGCTAGTAAAAAAGCCTTATCGATAATTTATGAACAACTACTGTACAATCCATTACTTCCCCCTCCACAAAGGATTTTAAGGAATAGCGGGAGAAAGAATTAGAAGTGAAAATTTCAGAAGTAATGTGGCAATCAGGTTTGGTGGATATTAATAAACACTCTATTAATTCTAGACATTGCCTTATTCAGTTTAAAATAATTCATAGGTTACATAATAATTTTTTTTTTACATAGAATCTTCCGAAATATTTCACCTCTTTGCGACAAATGTAATTCATCAGATGCAGATCTATCTCACACTTTTGTTCTAAGATACAGAATCAATGGAATGGAATTTTTGAAGTGCTTTCAGAGAGAAATTGCAGTTACAACTGGATCCAATGCTTTTAATTCTGGGATTCTCTGAAACATATGTGTCAAATACACAACAATAATTGCTCTCATATTGTTTAACTACTGCCAATAAGCTACTGCTACTGTTTTGGAAAAAAAAGAAATCTTCTACATGTAAACTGTTGCTTGGAGAAATTACCTCTATGTTATATTTGGAGTGAATTAAATACTGTTCGAAAAGAAAACTTAAACAATTTGACAAAATTTGGAATCCATTTATCCGTTGCCTTGAAAAAAAAATCATCTCACAATAATGCATCATTTCTGTAATATTTTAATATGCCTTGTCATTATACTCTGTTGTACAAACAGGTCTTTGTAACAAGTTTGTTTGTTATGCAGGTGTTTTTTTATTTATTTATTTATTTATTATTATGATTTTCATATAGTTTTTTCCTTTTTTTTATTATTTATTTATTTCATTTACTTTATTATTTGTCTTGCCTATGTTACATGTGGACAAAATATGTAAAAAGAGAGTTTTGAGTCTGTGTCTCAATAAAACTTATTTGACAAAAAATAAAAATAAAAGAAAATATCTAAAAAGAATTACTCAACCCATACTTAATAAATCCAGCAAATCATGAGAATTTTCAAGTAGTAGTTCAAAAATTCACTCACATCTGGCATTGTTCGGTCAAAACAAATGCCAAGATTACTGTCATACAACAAGGTTACACTCACACAACTCAAGCACACTGTTTTTTGGAGCTATTATTCAGTTAGAAGATCAAGGTTTAGATTTAAAAGCTCCACATTCCTAATATGTGTTTGTGTTTGTGTTTGAGTAAGTAAATTTTGGTGTATGTTTAACAGAGCTAATTCCTCACCAAAAAGTGCTCCAATGGCCAGACCAGCAGTTTGAGGGTGAGAGAAAGCAGCCATGGCACTGAACACATCTGGAGCCCCATTTCCAAGAGCCAGGAACGTCACTCCCTGTTCAACTCAGTCATGGAAAACAATGGCAAAAATAACAGTCCACCAACACACATCCACATGGTACACATGGTACAAATAAAGCTGAATTGAATTGTACTCTAGGCTATGGGCCCTTTCCAGAAATTAAACGGCAAACTCATCACTTAGGATTCCACTCAGTCACAAACACACACCACTACACACTCCTCTCAGTCACGCACACTCTCCAAAAAGCACTACAGATTGATCTCTCAAATGCTTACATGTCAAGAACACGATTGAGCTCTCTCATGCTTACACATCAAGAACACAAACAGGATAAGACTCTGAGCAAACAGTACCTAGAATAATAACCAACATGAAACAATAACCAATAATCAATCTTGGTTACCACTGCTGAGTAAGACTTTTTGCTTAGGATGCTGTGATATTCTTTTTACCACTGCTGTGGTTGATATAAACTTGTATACAGAACTGATATAAAACCACAGCAGGGGTAATAAACCTTCTCAGCCTCTGCAAACCTCTAGGTACAAATTAAAAGTGTCAGGTGATCTAGGGATTGCAGCTCTGCTTTATTACAAGCATTTAAAGGATACAGCCACATTATGAGTAAGTCTTAGTGTGGAGGCAATGGCAGAGAGATTTGGGCAAAAGCTGCAAAAAACAAAATGATAAAAATACATTAATAAAACATTATTACATAAAACTCAATAAAATAAAATAAAAATACATTCAAATTGAGCAACAACATTAACCCAATCCTGTTCATTACAGATTTTATCTCAATGGACTTTGCAACTGAATGACAAACTGGTTCACTTGTTGACCCTCAAAAAAGCAGAACCTTCTAGACTACAAAATCTCCTAATAAATTAGTGACTTGTTTCCGTCACATGAGTAAATAGGGAAGTAAAATGAAGGTCATGACCAAAAAATGTGCTTGAGATTACACATACAGGCATTTATTTAATTGTTCATTTAAGGATTTACTCATCTCACTTATTTAAAGTGAACAATACCCTTAATTATCAATATCAACTTAACTGCACATAGCAAATGGAACATAATATTAGACAACAAACACCAAATCATGTTCACTTTAAAAAGTTAAGATTATACACACACAACTATTACTTGAAAAGTAATGCTCAGTTTAAATTATATTATATTATTCAATTATTTCCTTCGGCTTAGTCCCTTTATCAGTGGTCTCCACAGCGGAATGAACCACCAACTTATCCAGCATATATTTTACGCAGCGGATGGCCTTCCAGTTGCAACCCATCACTGGGAAACACCCATACAATATTACATTCACACACATGCATTATGGCCAATTTAGCTTACCCAATTCACCTACTGTACAGCGCATGTCTTTGTACTGTGGGGGATACCAGAGCACCCGGAGGAAACCCACGAAAACATGGGAAGAACATGAAAACTCCACACAGAAATGCCAACTGACCCAGTCCGGGCTTGAACCAGTGACCTTCTTGCTGTGAGGCGATTGTGCTACCCACTGTGTCACAGTGATCACCCTAATATATTAAATTATATTACGTTATGTTATGTTATATTATATTATACATTCATTTTCTTGTCAGCTTAGTCCCTTTATATTACTATTCAGTGATTATACAGCTATACAGAATGTGGGGTAATATGAGTGAGCTTGAGTCGTATGTCTCTATGTTGTTTGGCTTTATTTTGTCCATAGTACAATAGAGTGTTTTCACGACATGTCACCAGTTGGCCATATTGGAGATCAGAATGTAAACAATACCACTTATCTGTAAGAAACTTGCATATTTTGCTGATAAAACTTATTAATAATTGTTATGTATTGGCCTGTACTAATTGATCCGACCAAATATATAACAAATTAAGTAGAAGAGAGTGTATCAAATTCAATTTGTCAAAATATTACACCTCTTCCTGCTTGCTTATTTTCTAAACGAGTAACAGCATAACAGGTTTGGACAGCATAAATAAGCACAACAACATCTTCAGTGGTAGAGCAATGCGCAATCCATGCTGTTGTTTACATCTGAGAATCTCCATAATGGCCATGCATACGGGAAACTGATGAAATTGTGACATGAGTGAAAAAGTACAAAAATGTAATAACAATTGAGAGATACAGTTTTACTTCCTATTTAAATTCTCTTTTTAAGACAAGGGCAGCAGTCTAAATTCTCTTAAATACACAACTCACAAGTCTGATGCAATCAGTCCAAGAACGAGGAACAAAAACAACAGCCAGATAACCTGATGGGAATAAGAGAGAGGAGGAAAGAAAAAAGACAAGACAAAAATAAGATGCAAAACCAACAGAATTATCAAAGCAAATTAGAATAAACTGCTTCATTGTTCCTAGTGTTTGTTGTAAATATGTAAACAAAAGCATGGCCTGCAAAACAAATACATATGCACAATACTGCATTAACTGATATGCAACCAGTTAACGTTTTTGATGACTAAGCCAAATGTTTCCTTACATAGATCGTGATGGCTAGGGGCAGAAGACTTGGTGTGAATAGGCAAAAGGTGACAAAAGGGTATTTGATGAATCCTTCATCTGAAGCACAATCCGGTGTATTCTTCACATACTCGCATCTCTGACTGGCAGACACGTTCATCACCACATCACACTGAAAACACATCAACACATGCAGCTGTGGGAGACTCACAGACTACTCGGAGAGCAGCAGCTAAATAAAGAAGACGTCAATAACATGTAGAGCGTTATGTGTCCGCTACATTACTGGTTATTGTACATGAGTGTACTTTCTAACACACAATGAAAGATGTTAAAGCGTTATAAACGATTACGACTGACTTACCAGACATGTATTTAATTCGTAATGCGATTAATCATATATCAGAGAGATTTTGTCCAACTCACCTCATCTCCTTTGCGGCTCGGTGTAACTTCTGTAGGTCCGTGTGAACTCCGCGCATTCCCAGGAGGGGGAATGAGTTGTATGTAAACAGATTTCTGGCAGCTGGCACGATCCCATTGCAGAGCAACGGAGGAGAAAAGCAGCAGTAAACGCAAAGCACGCATTTGTAGGCTGACACTGCTTCAACATTGCTTTTCAATATCCAACACTAACATCTGAATTTTGACAATACCCTTCCAGGTTCTCTTGCGCGTTTTTGTTTCAGTATAAAACACCCCATGTAATTAGACGCGGTGAATCACAATGTGGGGTTTGAGCTAAAAATAACGCAAGAACGCACGTCTACACTGTCAACAGAGAAAGTCGAATAAATGGGAAGTGTGACGGGTCACACCAGTACTTCCTACACAAACATCGTGACGAGCTTTCTTATCAGCCCTCCCTCTGTATGGTTAAAGAGACATTTCACTTAAAGGCACAGGACTTTTTTAATAACACACAAAAAACACTGGAACAATGGATATTTTGTTCAACATAGTAACTCACACCTTAATGTTTCCAACTATTTCTAAATAACGTGAAAATCGTAATTTGAACCAATTACACAAAGCTTTTTTTATTATTATTTTTTTATTTAATACAATAAAAATAACATCACTGCAGTGAAGATAAAATACAATAACACAAAATTAGGAAACAGAAAAAAACTTTACAAAGCCTCAATCATTAAGAAAAAAAGAGTATCAATAGAAATAATTTCAATCATTTCAATCATCAGGAAAAAATATTATCATAAGCTTTAATTCAATTAACCTTTCTATAGCGCTTTTACAACGTTTAAGTAACGTAATATTCTTCTTATTATTGATACGCTTAAGAGATTCAATATTGAACAAAATTTCACCAAGAAAAGTATTAAATCTAGGTAATGCCTGAAGGAACTTATTCTTGTCTATAAAAAAATACAATGTTACAAAAAAGAAATTAACAATAAGATTAATAGCATGATCGTTATCAGAGAAATACAGAAATAAAATCTTTTATAGACAAATTTAATTTATATTTAAATAAGGACGATACATAACAATAATGTTATTCCAAAGAAGTTTCTAATTACACAAACCTTGTCCAGCAGTTACCTGTCAATGACTTTAAAGATTGTAGGTTTTTGGCCTTAATTGGATCATTTAACAAAAAATTATATTTCAAATATAATAAATTTAAAGATATTTAAATAAAAGAACCATTGAACCCTCCATATTATTAAAAGGTATTAATATATGATAGGATATGCACCAACAAACTTATTTTTTAAAACCCAACCATTATTAGGTTAACTAGACAGGATAGGGTAATTAGGCAAGTTACTGTATAATGATGGTTTGTTCTGTATATCGGGAAAAAATAGCTTAAAAGGGCTAATAATTTTGACCTTAAAATGTTTTATAAAAAAATAGAAAACTGCATTTATTCTAGTCAAAATAAAACAAATAATACTTTCTCCAAAAGAAAAAAACATTATCAGACATACTGTGAAAATGTCCTTGCTCTGTTAAACATCATTTAGTAAATATTTAAAAAAAAAAAAAAATTTAAAGGGGGAGGGGGGTGCCAATAATGACTTCAACTGTATATCTCGTTATTATAAGGACTACTGTATTTTTTCTGTATAAGGTTTGATGGATAAACATATTATTGCAGTTGTAAAGATGACTGTGATTAAAAAAGTAAGAATCTCTTATCTTTTCATAAAACTCCCACAATACTAATGTGATAAAATTGTATTTGACACTGAAAGTGAAGATAATAACATCAATGCATGTGTATTTAAGGGCTCCAGTTGATTGAGTCAAATGAGCCAACGACGCCCAAATGGGGTGTAATTGCAGAGCCAAAGTGCAGATGTTGCTTTATCTCTAATAATCTGTCTGAGTGGTCCAGTTGATTGGATCAGGCTTGGGCAACTAGTCTGGGTAGGATCCTTTAACCTGTTACTTTGTTTACATCCCTTGTTAAAGTTGTCTCCCCAGATCTTTGTCTCTACCACTAAGCGATGCCCATAAAATTTATAAACTACAATACTGATCTTTTTGAAGATTTTGATGACTGCAGCATCCCGGTACGTATTTCCATGGGTGCAACTCCAGTAGGTGACACACCTGAGTGGTGGTTGTTATATGCGGAAATGTTATATTCTGTCATTTTTAATTAATTGCATGTAGAAATGCTTAAATTCTCATGGCATATCTCATTAAGTAAGACAATTATGTACACCCATATATTTTGAGGGGAGGGATGTATGTGTTTAAATTGTGTCTATGTAAAAATATAACAAAATAACTACTAAACTTTGCTTGTGTGTGACATTATGTGGAACAATAACTAGAATTTTGCACAAAAAAACTAATTAATGTACATGTAACTTTTTGTGTATGACACAAATGAATTTGAAAACTAGACTAAATAACACTTTACAATAACAGTACATGAACAGTGATTTATTAATATGCAATCATAACTTTATTTTGAATTAATGATGGTTTAATGCATGCGCTAATCATGAACTAACTTTTCTACAACATGAGTCACAAGAGTTCTTGAGTAAACAACAGCTACCTTAATTACTTGTTAGCACATGTTGTTATTAATGTGTTAATAAACATTTAAGTTTAGCTAAATGTAACCAACATGAACTCATAACGTATAATTATGTCATGATTTTACTTGGAGGGGCACATCTACATTAACTTATCCTTAACTCCTCATGAACTTCTTGATGTTGACAGAGCACTTCTATTGTTATTCAGTGTAAACGGACTAGACGGACGTGCATAAGGTGTTCATGAGCATTTAATAATGGATTAATGATGATGTGCTCTTCCAATTAAAGTCATGACATAATTATAAATAAACATTATTTAACCGTTATGAGTACATGATGGTTAAATTAAGCATAAACTGAAGTGGTAATTAATCTTCTAATTAACAAACAATCATGTTCTAACAAGTACTTAAGGTAGCTGATATTCACACATGAACTCATGTGACTCATGTTGTAGTTAAAGTGAGTTCACGGTTAGCTCATGCAATAACTCATTATTAGATCATAATAAAGTAATGCTTACTATACATATTTTTACATTGTTTTCCTGTACTGTTTATGTTCTGTTAGGTAAGATAAAAAAAAGGTAATGATTCACACTCAATTGCTTCGTACTGTTTTTATTTTTTATTTTTCTTACATTTTACGGGTGATTAAAAGACAAGGGTGTCTTTTAATCACTCGTAAAATGTAAGAAAAATAAAAAATAAAAACAGTACAAAGCAATTGAGTGCGAATCATTACCCTTTTTTTGAATAATAGCATCAATAAGATTAACGCACCAAACTAAAGAAGTAACTAAAAAAACCGCAAGCGCGCAGAGCAAACTTCAGTAACTCAACACTGTTAGGTAAGATAACCTACATGTACCTAACAGAATCAGAATAATGAATTACAAATACTTCCCTTACTCCTTAACTAAACCAAAAAACATATTTCATTCAATGTTATTGGCACTCAGCCCTTACAGCGCTCAGCTCACAATTTCTACAACATGAATGGCTATTACATTTGCCACAATGAGATGGGGAAAGATGAGAAACATGGAAAGCACATTTGCGCAATTCCAACAAAAAATGGCTGAGGAAGTTGCAAAGGTGGTTTCATTTCATATGGAGGCAAGTTTTTCTTGTTGCAACAAAGTCAGTGGATTCCACCTTGGACTCCTTGACTTTCATATACATATTCCATTTATATGAACATTTACCAACTGCTAAAATCAGTATAAAATATATCAGCAGTTATTAATTTGTACATTTTTCAGCAATCATGTCACTTACCAACTTACTAAATGTTAAAATATTTGCCTACATGTTTTACACAGTGATGCCTTTTCGTCCACAACCCAGCCCTAAGTGTACAAACTTATACAAACTTACCCACACACTCTCTCATTCACGCACAAACACTCTCATACATGGCCAATTTAGTTCATCCAATTCACCTATATTGCATGTCTTTGAACTGTGAGGGAAACCAGAGGAAACACACAGACATGGGGAGAACATGCAAACTCCACACAGAAAAACCTCCTGGTCTCAAACCAGTTACCTTCTTGCTGTGAGGGAAATGTGCTAACCACTTAGTCACCAAGTACAAATCGTTCATAGTGTGAAGCCAATGAAAACAATTGGCTGCCATTATGCACTTTTTTATGGGGTACATACGGTAGACAAGATACTAAAGTGAAACTGGAATTCTTAGTTTTATTTGACATACACTTTGTTCTTTAATATTTTGTAGAGCTTTTAAATTCTCAAATAAATTCATTATATTCTACTGCATAAAACATTTGAAATATAAGCCCTGTTAAATCCAACTAACTCACCAGTTTGACCAGACTGGGAGATGAACTTTGCTTTTGACCTTCCTAAAAAGCCTGACCATCAAGTCACGAGGATGAAATGTGAATACATTCATGTGATAGTTTCATTCTGACACTTCATAAGGTTTGATGATTCAGGTGTATTCCTCCACTACACCCACATTGATATTTAAAGTCTTATATGCAGTTACTTTGACCTTTATGAAAGCCTTCCCTGCAAGCTAGAAGCCTTCAGTATGTGTATCTGAGAACAGCTATCCGACATTCTCCATTCCTGTTCCTGTAGACAATTTTAAAAATTATATTTGAAGTTTATGATTTATTAGACTGGGCTCATTTGTGTGAATATAAATACTGATCACTGCAAGGTCTTTTAGGATATTTTGTTCAGTTTGCAGCCATATTCGCAAAGCCTATTGGCAGCTATTTTGGTGATACAGAAATAAATTGTATAATACTGAGGAATCATTGGGTAATAAGACTTGATTGTCCCTATAGGACATTTTGTTGATTTAAAGTTGCATTTAATTTGAGTATTAGTAGACTGTCTGCTTAGTATCTGCTGATACTGCTCCTTCAATAGACATTTAACTGACTATAAGAAACTTACACTAACTCTTAACTCTGTTAACCATAACCTAACTTATAATCTAATGAGAATTAGTTGGCACGAAGACGCAATGTAACTTACATTCAATAAAATGTGTTAAAGGGACCATCAAAATAAAGTGATACCAAACATTGAATAAGCATATTTCAAATATGAAAAAATATGAAATTAACCATCTCATAGGTGCTGTTACTTACACGTTTGACAAGTCTTATTTTAACATCAGGTAAATTTTATCTCTGAAATTGCATCTATCTTTTATATATTGAACAGCTCTGGAAAAATCTAAGTTCAAAGTTAATATGGGTTCTTTGAATTTGCCATTAATGTTTCAGCAACTCTTTAAAATAATGAGATGCCTCAACAAAACATGAGATCCTGCGATCTAGGTTTAATCATTCATCTTAAAGGGTCCACTTCATCAAGCTGACCATTTGTTATTAACATGTAAACTAACGGACATGTGCGAACATGTAGTTACAATGACTGCTGTTAACACATAAATCCTCATGATTCCAGTCATAGCTGAGGCTAGTCCTTCATTAGGCATTCTTTTACTATTAATTACTATTAAGAACTATTAATTCAGATATTAGTACATCATTACGCATGTGTTATCATGTTTTCAGTTTTGTTTTATTTTATATCCTGCTGATTACAGGTCTTCACAATTTCTAATAAAAATATTATATTGTTTTTTTATGGCAGAAAATGACAAAAGATGTTTCAGACCTAAATTAAAAAAAACTAAGTATGAATAATTTTGGGCTTGACTGTACATATGTACTGATGTATTTGAAAATTTGAAGACTTCTTATCAGTTTATAAACTAAAAATCAAATGAATATTTTACTCATAATGCATGGCAAATCCAGAGAATCAATTCTAACTCTGAAGTGGTCTCTGAAATCTTTCCATGCTGGGCTGTATTTTTGGGGTATACAGTGTTCAGCATAAATGAGTACACCCAATTTTTAAAATGACTAATTTTATCTATTTCTTATTGAATATAGGCAATGTATTTAGGTGCATTTAAACAAAACAGATTTATTAAACAGATATATTTATTAAAATTATATTTTAGTCACCAAATATATTTAGAAATTAAAAGATAATACAATTAAAATCCAGCAAAACTTTGCAAAAATAAATTACAACCTGCAAAACTTTAAAAAAAAAAAAAAAAAAAGTTCAGTCTTTAAAATTTGCATTTATTATTTCTCTCTAAAATACAGTATACATTTGGTTGTACTAGTTTCTGGACCATTATCGTAAGTTATTTTGTTAGATAAGCTCCAGATTTGGCATCAGTACTAACCAATGTAATGTATATGCACAAAAATAATACTGTACAGCTTCCGATTAAATCTTTGACTTTAAAAAATAGATTTGTGAGACGTGTATTCAAATATGCTGAGCACTGTATAATAATTTCCGATCCCAAAATACTTGGCAAGAAAATAAAAAGATTACTTTCACCAAGTGTTGACCGACACGTTGAAAAGTTTTGAAATCATTCAGAGATTTATCATATGATTTTTACCCATATTTAGGAAAAACAGATCTACTTACATTGCTTTATTTGTGTTATAATATTGTTAGAGTAGGTCTTTCAGGGTTATGACTGTGACATTTGTTGAAAAGTCATGTTGTGTCATGCCACTGAGAAGCATTTGAGGTCATATCAGAATAAATCTGACAGCATCCCATCTAAGCTAAAGAAAGTGTATGCACAAAATATATTTTAGAATATATTTAGAATATTTAAGTATGCTATTTAGTAAGGGGGATCTGGTTGCTTGCACATACAGTACACTACTTGGAGATAGGAAGGGCCATGTCATCATTCTTATCGAACAGCTGCAGAAAACAAACCTGAGGCCAGTTACATTAACAGAGTCACTATGTTAAGACTGGGGGACTAATTTGATCAACTAGCAGTTAGATAGAATATTTTATTTAGCTGATTTGAAGTTATGAAAGAAAAAAATGGATGGCTAAATGTAGTTTAAGCATGTCACTGCAATCTGGAATACCAACTCCGGTAAATATTATTTCAATTAAATATTAATAATGAAAGAATTATGTAAGTGAATGTGTCTGTAGAGCTAAAGAAAGACTTTTTTATACACTATAATTTTAAAGTACTCATGGATTTGTTATGTTGTCTGTGTAACAAATCCATAAGGATTCCATTTTTGCCACTGATTTTTGTAGGAACAAGCAGAGCATAAATTTTCATAACTAATTATCAATTATATTTTTGGCCTGATTATGATGCTACATTTACCTCCAGCATCTAAGCAACCAAAACGTGCTTGCCAAATGTCTCCTTTGTACATACTTTGTACTGAGCTTGTGTCTCTGCTTATGTTTCCTTGAACGCTGTATTTAAGAGTGTTAATGTGGAAGCATAAAAGTTTATCATTGGTTTGACATCATGTCTTAACCATTTCAGGATTGCTTCTTCCGGAGCTAGAGTGGCAGTACCAATTGGGACCTCAAAGTGGGATCGTTCATTGAGACTCAGCTAGCTAGCATCGAAACCTCCACCACACACACACACACACACCGATGCACACGTGTCCTCACGCACACATGTAGACACATGTTGATGACAGCTTTGACACTGTCCTCTTCCCTCCCCTTGGAATTTAGAAGCCTATCGGGATTCAAAGTTTCTATCCCACGGAAACTGTCTACTAAATGAAAGGTCAGTCAGGCTGGACGGATTCAGTTTCTCCTGAGGATGACTAGTATATTTTTGGCTCATGTTGTGATTTTTATGCAATTGCGGCACTACTGTGGTGTTTAATGTATGTTGCTTATAAATGGAAGGAGCAGAATAGTAGCAGGTGGAGTAAAGGATCATCTTATGACAAAAACTGTAAATACTACATTTGTAGACACATTTCTCCTTTAACGTTTCTCTTCTTTAGGGAAGATCCACATCGCACCAAAGTGTCTTTGCGTTTGTCATTGATTACTCAATAATTCTGATAGTTTAAATCACATTTTACTTCAAAACTGGTCACATCAAAAACACATAAAAGTGTTGTATAATAAAATAAATTTAGTATATATTAAAAAGATTAAAAGGTAAATCAAATGAATTTGAAATATGTGGATTTTCCTAATGATGTTTAGTTAATTTATGCCCCCTAAATGACCAATACAAATAATTGTTTAATGAAAAGGAAAAAAGACAAAATTAATAAAACAAATATTCTTTTTTTTCCCCAACACCGACCTGCTAAATCATACTTACAGGCATTGATTAAATTATTTAGTGTTTTTGTATCGCAGTTGGTTTCTTATGATGATTTACGCTTTTCAGCGTGCAATAACTCACGAAGGAGACGGAGTAAAGTAAATAAGCAATAAAATAAGAAAAACAAACTTGAAAGCAGGGGTTATTTATATGTGTGAGGCTGGGAGGGGTAATATTGGCTTTCAACAGCTTGAAGTCTCATTGGACTGTGTCGAACACTAATTCCATAAAGAGTTAAAGGGTTTTGCTGAGCCATCACAGAATGCTATCAAAACCTTCTTTCAGTACAGAGGCTGCCCGCAGTTCCCGGTCTGTCTTGTTCCCCAGATTTTCATAAGGTGAGATGAATTTGATCTGTTTCATACGCTGTATAATTGTTTTGATTTGTTTTAAGATGACTTTATACAATTATACTAAGCTATGATGGACAAGATTTTGTGTTTTTGTATGAAAAAATGTATATTTATTTATATATTTAAGGACTAGTGTATTTTTTTAAATCAAGAAATCAGTAAAAAAAATTGACTGAAGAAACTTTTTTTTTTCTATAGAAAAACGCTTTTGGGTTTCCCAAAGAACGTTTTAGTGAACAGGTCCTAAAATAACGCTTTCCTTAAAGACTATTAATGAATTCTTATTGTTAAAATTTGGGATGAAATTGTTCTATGCATGTAAAAGGGCCTTTAAGGAACCATCGGTTTCAATTAAAGACTGGTTGCCTTAAAATTTTAAGTTGAATCAAATTAACCTTATGAGTCCATTGAACTTATACTATGTTAAACTGACCTAAAACAGCTTGTGTAACTTAAATAAAAGTTAGAACATGATTAACTTAGTTTAATAGGTTACAATGACCTAAAAACAAATGCTTTCAGGACTAATTAATCATACAGTTTTTTACAGTGTAGGTTTGGCAATGCAAGGCAAAGGAGTTGGCATCCTTTAATCAATTAAACTGAGTGTTAGGTCAAAGCATCCTCTTGTATATTTTTTTGTCAAGTACAGTATGCTGTCTTTCATCAGTTATCGAACACTATCTGAAGTGAGGGATAATCCACTTGAATCAGGGTTAGGTTAGGAGGCATTCTCAAGTGCTCATGGATGAGCTATAGGTAATTCAACTACTTAAAATGTTTCAGATAATTGACTCTAAAAAGGTGTTGGGAAATCAAGAAAATGATCAAGATATTATTGAGATAACATAATAAGGGTACCACCGCAGAGCTGAGGGAACACTGTGTGCTAACATTTCAATAACCCTGAAATCTGAGGCCTCAGTCAATCCATCACACGGATCATCACTGGAGCTACGATCCAGTTATAGATCTTGAAAAATTCTCAACATGTGGGTTTTAGGAATTTGAAGATACTGGAGGATTAATAAAGGAGACTGGATATACTGTAAGATGAAGAGATGAAGGAAGAGTGAATATAGAAGGATGATGTGGTTTGTCTGACTGAACTGCTGATACAGTATAGAGTCTGATTGATGTTTCCAGCCATTTGCTCTTGATACAACGTGTTGGATACTTTTACACACAGAGATCAGCTTTCTGCTTCACTCACATTTATGTCACACGCAGCTAAATGCTAGTACAGTGATACACAGCCTCACAGCCTTATTGACTCAACTATTATTTCATTCTCTAATTACCATATATCTGAAAGCAATCATGCTATACAGTAGAAATGCTAGGTTCCACACAATTCCTTCATCTTTTCCCAACACAAATCGATTAACTTCATTGTTTTTGCTCATTTAAATAAATTGAACATAAAACAATTAAGTTGTATCCAAATAAAAACCCAAGGATTGGGTTGCTTCTGCTCATTTTAAATAAGACGTTTGAACAAACAGCAAAAATTAAATTTTGAGTGTATATGCATGATGAAATCTGCATATACAGTTGCTTAAAAGTATCTTAAAAGGCATCACATTAATTATATATATCAGGATTCAAGCTAATATATGTGTTTGTGGGTGTTGCAAGAACAAATGTATGTACAGCAGCAGACTGTTTTACTTGGTCAGAAGATATAAAGTGTTTCTCAGTGTCAGATTTAAGTACAAGTCATTAATGCATGACTGAAAGTGAAATACTTTCATATCAGCCACTTGATAAGTAGCGTGTCCTCTGTTATGAATGAGAGTGTAACTGAGCGTGGAGGAGTGTGACTTGTTTACAGCTGTACAGTAGTTGAAAGTGATGACTGTTGATAGTGGTACTGAGTGACGGTAACTGAATAAGTTGTGAATGCGATGCACACAGCAAAGAAGAGCTTAGAAAGCAGCTCTGTAAATAGGTTTTGGTGGAATTTAATGCTCTGAAACTTAATGTTGTGAGATTAAAGGGTTACTTTCAAACCTTTCTTTTGTCTAGGGTTTCATTTAGGTGTGACTGTGTAACTAGCTTAAAAAAATTATGCCATCTGCTTAACATTTTAAATATTAAATACTATGGTCTTTAACACAGACTTACCCTGTTTTTTATGCTTTCTTACAGGAGAGCACAATAAGCCTGCCATCATGTCTGAGTAAGTCTATAAATACCTTTTTAACTGGAAGTCTCAGTCATGCAATATTGAAGTGCTGCAAGGATGATGTCAAATCCTAGAGTAATTCGCCAGTGGTGCTCCTGATTTTCTGTGGGTTTTTATATTTATGAGTTAAAGAAGGTCACTGCTAACTTGATGAAACACCGATGTTTTATTCTACATCATAAACTGCACTCAAACACATTCGCAATCCTTATGACGTCCTTATGAATATTTGTTTATTACAAAAATGTATCTTAACTGTTTCAAAAATCACGTTCGGAGTATGGGTGTGTCATTTATTTCAAGAGCAAAACGCAAATGCATTGTCAATTTTTGTTTAGCACAGACCTTGTTTCACTAATAAATTGAAAAAGCCCCAAAAAGTAAATTCTTGAATGAGACCAGTGGTCAATTTTCATCTCTGGTATCACGGGAAGTCTATACACAAACACTTCTAAACTTAATTAAAAGACTGAATCATTTCTTTCTTTCTTAAAATCCTAATAGCAAAAAGATGACCTCAAGCCGTCGGCACCATCTCAAGGTAAACTGGAGCGTTTGATTTGGACTTTTTTGTTCACTAACTGCTGTGGCTATGGTTTCCTGAAGTCGGTTTACATGTAGTCATAATACTGCTGTTGGGAAGTTAAAAAATTATTTAAGTATTGCAGCAAAATATGAATAGATCTTTATTAACAGACATTTCTCAGTAAGAGCTTGTTGTCTGTCTTATGTTGATTGATTAACAGATGCAGACAATTCCAGAGTGAATGCTTGAGCTTAATAAACACATGCATATACTTTATAAATGTTTATGTTTACTTAAGGTGAAACCAATAGTGCTATTTTCAATTATGGATATTTTTAGTGCTGTCAAATGATTAATCACGATTCATTTCATCCAAAGTAAATGCTCATACAAATTGTATTCATGGTTATTAGGTATATTTTGTGTATATAAATATATGCATATATGACTATATTGCATAGAACGCTTGTTTATATGTAAATATTTATAAAATACAATTTTTATAAATAGACATAAATTGTAAATAGTTATATTTATGTACAATATCTATGTGTATTTATACTTGTAGCACATACACAGTACATACACATATAAACAGTTGGAGTCAGAATTTCTAGCGTTCCCAATTATTAGCCCTTGTATATTTTTCCCAATTTCTGTTTGACGGAAAGATTTTTTTCCAACATATTTCTAAACCTATTAGTTTTAATAACTCATTTTTTAATAATTTGCCATAATGGCGGTATATAATATTTAACTAGATATTTTTCAAGATACTAGTATTCAGCTTAAAGTGCAATTTAAAGGTTTTACTAGGTTAATTAGGTTGCCTGGATCAGTCAGGGTTATTAGGCATGTCATTGTATACTCACTGGCCACTTTATTAGTTACACCTTACTACTACCAGATTGGACCCCCATTTTGCCTTCAGAACGGCCTTAATCCTTTGTGGCATAAATTCAACAAGATTTCTCAGAAATTTTGGTCCATATTGACATGATAGCATCACACAGTTGCTGCAGATTTGTTGGCAGCGCATCCATGATGCAAATCTCCCGTTCCACCACATCCCAAAGTTTGAGTTCTGGTGACTGTGGAGGCCATTTTTCAAAGAGTCTGAACCATTGAGACAAGACCGGATGGATCCATGCTATCATGTTTTTGATGCCAAATTCTGACCCCACCATCTGAATACCGCAGCAGAAATCGAGACTCATCAGACCAGGTAACGTTTTTTCAATAGATCAGCGTTACTTCCTAGTAGACCAGCCCGTCTGGCACCAACAACCATGCTGAGTTCAAAGTCACTTAAAGCTTTCTTCCTCATTCTGATGCTCAGTTTGAACTGCAGCAGATTGTCTTGACTACGTCTACATGCCTATATGCATATAGTTGCTGCCATGTGATTGGCTGACTAGAAATTTGCTTAACGAGCAGTTAGTCAGGTGTACCTAATAAAGTGGCCAGTGAGTGTATAACAGTGGCGTGGTCTGTAGACAATTACATTTTTTTTTTTGGCTTAAGATGGCTAGTAATATTGACCATAGTTTTAGTTTAGTTTGTCAATAGTTTTCAAGAAATTAAAAACTGCTTTATGCTAGCCAAAATAAAACAAATAAGACTTTCTCCAGAAGAAAAAATATTATCAGACATAATGTGAAAAATTCCTTTCTCCTCCAGACTTCAACTGTATATATTATGTAAATACAAACTTTTATCTTGGATTGCGATTAATCTTTTGACAGCACTAATATTTTCACATTCAATATGCCCATGTGTGTTTGTCTGTCCTAGATATATGTGAAAGGGAATGCAAATCCATTCTCACATGTTATCTGAGATGCAGCTGTCTGTGAGTGTGCACAGAAAACTGCATGCTAATACCAAAACAACACCTCTGTTGCATCTTCTTCGTCGTGGTGTTTCATTCATATGAATCACTGACCAACTGTGATTCGTTAAACCACTATAAAAATAAAAATGGCAAGTGGGAGTAACTGTTACACGCCTCTACTAATATCCACATGCATTTTGCTGGCTGGCCAGTGTTAAATATCCAAGTGGCATTTGTTCATTGTTTGTTGTAGAGTTTGATTCTGGGTATAGCCAAAGACCTGCTGTCGGCTGAGCAGAAGCAAACAGAGGTGGACAGAGTTAATTACATGGAGGAGAAATGTCCACCTCTCTCTCTGCCAGGCTCAGTGCAGGAATTACAGGTACGCATGTACAGTATGAAGCCTTTCAACATTTCAGTATTTATAAGTATATAACTCAGTTGTTAAAATTCTCTTCACTCTGCTCAGGAACTGTGCAAAGAGCTTCATCAGAAGATTGATGTGGTGGATGAGGAAAGATACGACATGTCTCTCAAAGTGGCCAAGAGTGACAAAGAGGTTTTTGTTTTTCTCATTCCTCCGTCCTTATCCATCTCACTCCTCTACTTTGGCTTGAATTTACAGCACATCACACTCTGTATTCTTGTAGATTGAGGATCTGAAGATTAAGGTTCAGGATCTGATTGGTAAATTCAAGAAGCCCGCTCTGAAGAAAGTGCGTATGTCTGCTGATTCCATGCTGCAGGCTCTGCTGGGCTCCAAACACAAAGTGTCCCTGGATTTGAGAGCCAATCTTAAACAAGTCAAGAAAGAGGTCAAGGAGGAGGTGAGGGCACATTATAATTCCTCGAGTAAATCGGTCAAATACCAATTTGCCAATCAAATTCCAACATAATAATTCTTTGGTCATTTGTTTAGGATAAGGAGGCTGTGGGAGACTGGCGTAAGAACATTGAGGATAAGGCTGGCATGGGCGGCAGGAAGAAGATGTTCGAGTCTGAGGCTTAAACAGGCAGCCATTTTACTTCTGAAGTTGATTTCTGATGGACTTTCTATTGCACGTTTCACTGTCAAAAAGTGCTTTTGCATTCAAACTACACATCCAACAAACCGTAACTACTCTAATCATAATATTGAGACTGCCATGTACTACATGAACTATACTCACCTTAACCAATAAATTTTGGAAGACAAACTCTGTCATCTGATCATTCCCTTCATTCATCTGATCATTCCTCTACACAATTTCTCATTTTAAGAAAAATATTAATAATCTTTTATCTTTTTATCTTCATTCACTAAAAGATTAAATGTATATTTCTCTGCAGCCGTTGTACCTCATAACTGAACTAAAATCATCAACCATGATGCTCACTGCATAGCAACATTTCATTTTCATAATGAGCAGCAAATGAAATGACCGTTTTTATTCTCTTTTTGTCTTCTTTTGTTTTTAAGAGATCTGTTGACCCTGACGTTGATGAAATTAAGAATGTGTGTATCTATTCTCTGATTAATCTATGCAGCACCACTGTATGAAATGATTATAGGATTCTGATCAGCAGCAGATGGAAATAAAAGAAGAGGATTAAGAGGCTGTTTGGGTAAGTGACATCAACAAATTTGTGTGTACTTGTGTATCTTGATATTCACTGTTGAAGAGGCAAGCCTAACAGAAAAACAATAAACAGCTTTAAATCATATTAAATACAGAATTTTTCTCTGAGGGTTGTATTTGGGACTAAGGATAGAGAATAGATTATAGTTTGTACAGTGTAAATCTCATAATGTTCAAAGACAGTCAGCATAAAACATGGCAACTCAACTTGTATATGTTGTTGTTTTATGTGTCTGTACTTGTTTAGGTATATTTCTGAGAGTCAAATTAACTTTGAAAATATCATGACAACAATCAACACTTATATTAACTTATAATATAATATAATAAAGTAGAAAATACCATTTTTTTCTACTTAAAATGTCAGATTTTATTTAGTATTCATTCATTAATTTTCCTTCGGCTTAGTCCGTTGTTTATCAGGCGTTGCCACAGCGGAATGAACCTAACTCAACCCTTCCAGCCCCAACCCAGTACTGGGAAACAACCATACACAGTCATTCACACACACACAAACACATTGATACACTACAGCCAATTTAGTTCATCCAATTTACCTATAGCGCATGTGTTTGGACTGTGGGGAAAACCGGAGCACCCAGAGAAAACCCACGTGAAGAACTTGCAAACTCCAGACAGAAATGCCAACTAATCCAGTCGGGACTCAAACCAGCGACCTTCTTGCTGTAAGGGGACAGTGCTAACCACCAAGCCACCATGCCACCCTTCTTTCAATATTCCATTGTGAATTACCAATTAACAATTTCCGCTTAAAAAAATGTATTCCAGACTATTTTAGATAAAATGAAAGTTTGTGAACCCCTTTAAGAATCTGTGAAAATGGGAAGCTTTTTGGCAAAACAATATAAGTCATACAAAATGAATGTTATTTTTTTTGTACTGTCCTGAATAAAATATTTTGCATTAAATATGTTTACATGCTCACAAGACTAAAACATAGCTGAAATGATTAAAAGAACCCCCTGCAAAAGATTGTGTTTTGTTTTTAATACTGTCTCTGTGTGGTTGCCAGATAACATTATTTTGCTTTGTGGTGGTTATTCATGAGTCCTTTGTTCTGAACAGTGAAACAGCCTGCTCTTCATACAAATCCTTCATGTCCTGAAGATTCTTCAGTTTTTCCAGCATATTTTGCACATTTGAAACCTTTCCAGCAGTGGGGGCTATCATTGGGAGTTTGAACATTTTTAAATAGTGTTGTTTGAGTTCCTCTGTTATCCTATTATATATGAAAAGATGCATCTCAAAATCATACAGAAACTGCTGGAATAGTTTAAACACACTGAAGATGATAGAAAACTGAATGTGTTCAAAAAGCTTATCTTGTTTGTAAATCTGTTATTGGTTCATATACAGTGCTCAGCATAAATAATTATATATATAGTTTTTTTTTTTACCCATTTCTCAGTGAACAGCTATATCCATTAAAATAAAAGGTTGGTCACCTTACTTCTTGAGGAACAGCAAGGTAAATACATTTAAATTCAAATGAGTTATTGAAAAAATAAAAAAAAAACTACAAAATTGTAACAATTTTTAGTATTTTTTTATGTTTATGAAAAAATCGATTTAATATTTCCCCCAACATTATTTTTGGGTGCACTAATTGTTGGACCGTGATCTTAATTTTTTTGTTAAAGCTCTAGATTTTGCTTCGGCACTGACTAATCTAATGTTTATGCCCACATATTACTTTGTAAAGCATTCAATTCAAAAATACTGATTTAACAAAGAGATCTCCAAGGGCTGTACTCATTTATTCTGAGCATTGGATACCCGACAGTCATTTTTTATTTTAAATTAGATCAGGACAGTCTGGAAGTGGAGTGAAAGAGAATATAACAACAACAATAACAATTAAAGTAACACATACTAAGAAATGGGGTGTGTATATTGTTTAATTTATAAGATAGACAGGGCAATATTAGGGGTATAACTTTTCTGTGCAAACTGTATGGATGCATCCTGTCCAGATACCAAAAGATATCTGTCACCCTCATGTGGTTAAGAGAAGAAAAGCAACAATTCAAGGAACAGCAAAATAAGTTGTCAATGTGCCACAATAAAAGAAAGAATGCAGAGAGATCTTATGTCCATTCTAAATATAATATGTAGTTAATTTTTTTTAACAAAGTCAATAACGTTCAAAATTTATATATGTATATAGAGCTCATCACTGCCACTAAATGCATGTAACCAAATAAATATGTTCTTTCCCTCCCACAGGAAACAGGGAATTACTTCACTATTTCATGACATCAAATGCAGATTTATCTTGTCTGATAAACAGTGCTTTGGCATATATTTTGAACTGAAATATTTATATTAAAATACAATGAATAAATATTATTTTCTATTTAAAATTACAGCTAAGCTATCTATACATAACTAATGCCAATTTGTAACCCTATCAACGCAAATGTGTCTTTAAATGTGTCTTATTCATTTCGGAATGTTATTATTAATAAACTATATGCAATTAGTATTATAATACACAATAAATACATGTATGAATTGAATGGATTACATTCATATTACTTAATGTGATAATGTGTGTGTGCTTCTCTTATTCATAATGTTTTCAATGTCCTCACATTGAAATAGCCCATTATACAGAAAGAAGAAATTTGTAACTGTAAAACTGCAGAATGTTTTCTGTAAGTATTGGTGCAGAATGAACATCAGTTCTGAAGTCACAATGTAGCAAATATAAAATTGAAATAAAGCAGAAAATATCATCTATTGTTTAGTAGGTGGGAAAAAAGAAGAACTTTGATGAAGCTAATTCTTATGTGTGCGCGAAGAGACCAATTTCACAATCCCAAACTCCTTTTTGGTTGTTGCTGGATGACGCAATCAGATGTACACATATGTAGGCCCTAAAGATCACATTAATTGTATGTGTGTTTATATAAAAAAATGCTAAATATCATTGTACACACACACACACACACACACACACACACACACAAACCTCATCCAACAGGCGTTAACTGTGGACGCAAGAGAAATCTGTCTGAAAGGGATGTCCAGCTGTTAACCCAGATTGTCTCTAAAAACAAAACCACAGCTGCACAACTCACTGCAGAATTAAATGTGGGCTGTGGACAACGTGAAACATGTGTTGTTCTTTGATGAGTCTACATGCGGGTGAGATATTGTGTGGAGAAGCACCAAAAAAGCATTCCACCCAAAAAAGCATTCCACCATTCCACATGCCCAGAGTGAAGCATGGTGCATCATTGAAGGTTTGGGCTGCAAAATCAAGGCATTCCCTAGGCCCAATACTTGTGCTAGATGGAAGTATCACTGCCGAGGACTACCAAAGCATTCTAGATGAATGTATCCAGTATTGTGAAGGCGGTGCAGTGTATCAGAATGATAATGCAATAATACATACAACATAAACTGGTGACAGAGTGGATTTAAGAACATGGAAGTGCAGTTGAACATCTCTCACAGCCTGCACAGACACCAGTACTAATATTATTGAGCCATTTTGGGGTGTACTTGAGGAGCCAGTCAGAAAATGTTTTTCTCCACCTAGAAAACCTGGTGAATGGCTCAAAATCTCTCTGGCCACAGTGCATGACTTGTATCGGTCATTCCCAAGACAAATTGATGCTGTATTGGTCGCAAAAAAGGCACCATACTAATGTATTATTGTTGTCTTAAACTAAGCATGTAACGCACGCGCTCGCATGTGTGTGTGTGTGTGTGTGTATTTCAGGACCCACCAGAGCTGCCATCTCAGTTCCAGAATTTCTACTTATGGCCCCCTTCGAGGTTAATAGAGGCTAACTAGTCAGATGTGTTTCACTATGTGTCAAATGGTTTGAACCCCAGATTTCACTTACAGAGTCCTTGTTGACCCAATCTAATTGATAGGTTTGGGATGAGAGTGATCTATAAAAAGTTAATCAATAGGCTACATTACATTTGAATAACATTTAAAGCATTGGAGAGCTGTCTGGATGCAGACCTGGTGCAGTGCAATCTAAGCTGCACCCAATGCTTTTTAATGCACTCACCTAACCCCACCCCTAACCGTACCCGTCACAGTGACGTCATTCACTCAATAAAGGCTGCATCCAGATACTACTGGAGCGTTTAAGTTTTTCAATCTTTTTTCACACAGTGTCCTCATTCACTTTGTGTGTGTGGACAGAGTTGCCAACATTAAAACATACTGAATCATATACACATTTTTTGTCATATTTTAATGTATAAATCAATTTATTTAATGGACAGATTAAACACAAATGTGCAAGGCATTTATATGTACACATTAAAACTTTGGAGCGTGTCCCGATCCCGAGTTGATGTTTTAAATAAGCACTAGATGGCGCTGTTCTCAAAACTCTCTAATCTTCAAATCCTCTTCCAAACGGGGAAAACCTCTTTCTAGTTTCTAGAGGTTTCCATCACTGCTCCCCTGCTCTGCTGTGCAGTCTCGCTCTGCTCTCTGCTCAGTGGAATTTTGCATTTTGTTTGTTTTTATATTTTATAACATTTATCTGATAATAATCATTCTAATATTTATGAGTGTTTTATTT